AGGAGCCCTGATTTAACTCCATTAGATTTTTATGTATGGGGGCACCTGAAAGAAATCGTATATGCCACGGAGGTAAATACGCGCGAAGAACTGATTGAAAGGATACAGAATGGGGTTGCGATATTGCGACAGAACTTTTCAAATCGAGTAACCAGGACAGAAGTAAGAAGACGGGCTCGTGATTGCATAAGGAATGGGGGTAGTCATTTTGAAAATTAATTACACCACTTGTTGGAAAAGTTTTTTCATTTAATTTTGAGAATGTTGTTTTTTTTTTTTATTAGGAGAATGTTGTTTTTTTTTTATTATAAGGTAGGAAATACATTTTTTCAAATGGTAAATATTGTTTTTTTTTCAAAGATAAAAGTCACACTTACATTATGTTGGCGATACAATGTAAAATTGTCAATGCTTTCAAATTTTTTATCTAGAAAGAGCTTGTGTTGCCAACATTGGTAGTGAATTTTTGACTTGGGAATTATCTTCAAAAAAGAAACAGACTTTATTTGGAAGAGAGTGCATTCAAGAATGCTTGGCAATAAAGTGCCAGTAATTTATTATGCAAATTTCAAAATTTTCAAGCAGAAAATAGTAATTACTTCTTCTTTACTAATAACTATTACTATTAGCTAGTAAAAAAATTGATAAAATTTTTATTGCAACACTTGATATCCAAAACAGGTATAAATTAGAATTCTGTTGAAAATTATATCGTCTCTCCTTAAAATAAAAATAATTTATTTAACAATAAAGCAAAAAGCTAATTCTGAAATAATGTACCTTATCTTGGAGACAATAAAATGGAGTACTTTTGCCAATTATTTGTACGTTTGAAGTACTATGAAATTTTCGATATTTTTAGGGTTAAATAAGTCATTAGTTAGAAACTTAACAAGAAAAGTTAAGTTTAAACCGCAATAACTCAATAGTTAACATTAGTGTTTCGATAATTTTCAATGCTGATATTTTTGTCAGTGTGTCAGCTTAAAATTTAAAACACGACTTTCAGAAAGGTCCTTGTTATTTTCGTTAATTTTAAATATTTGCCTCATAAGGTAGTGAATTTTATAAAAATTAGAAAAATGAAAATATCGCGAAAACCGTTAAGAATGGTATAGAGGTAAATAGTGTTTAATCGGTAGCAAATAGGCTCTAATGTCATCTCCTCAAAGGAATACGTCCACTTACCAGTCACCCTGTATAGCGCATTGGAAAATCTCCGATGAAAAAAACAAAAAGGAAATTTTTTAACTTTATTTGGAATCTTTATCAAGGCTTTCATATACAAGGAATAACTTAAAGTACATGGGGAATGATTTCGGAAACCATTGAAGATACAGGGTGGACTAAATGGGGAAAATAAAATGGTGGATAACTCAGAGCCGGCACAAGTACATTACGAAAGTACTTGAAGTACAAGTACGAAGTAGATATATGTATTTAATAGATCTACTTGAAGTACAAGTACAAGTTTTTCAAAATTATACTTTGATTATCAAGTTGGTAAACTTGAAATTTACTTGAATTTCGTCAAGTAATTTACTTCAAGTAAAAACATTGAGCTTCAAGTGAAGTGGCATTACTTATAGTAATTCAAGTAGGTATGTACCTAAAATACTTTAAATAAATTACTTGAAGTAGTTTTGTTACTTCAAATATATAAAATCTGTTCGAATCGAAACAAGACAATTCCTATATAGTCTTTATGGTATTTATAAAGTAGGTAATAGAGGTAGGTACTAAGTTACTAAGCACCAAAGCACCTTAGACTAGGTACTTTAGTGCTTAGTAATTTTTTATATTTTCCGTTGCAAGGTGCGCCGATTCGAGTAAAATTTTGTATATCTCATTCGCAGTTCTAAAAATTAAGCGGGTCATGATATCAAAATAGGTACAGGGTATTTGATTATATTTAACCCTTTCGCTACCGCGGATATTGTATATGTACCACCAAGTTCCGTAGACTACTAACCTTATACTTTTTCATTGAAATTGATGCTACCGTGTACCACTCAGTTATCAGTATTTTGATGTCGCTTGAGGCCAATCCTAACCTAAAATTTCATATTGACGCCTCATATATATCTATGTGTTTGTACCACTTGATGCATGTGAATTCTAGTTTGTACAACCCTTATGGTTCATAATGGTACCACTAATAAATGTTTTATAATACTGCTGGTACAATATATCCTATTCACAATCCGTTATAGTCCTAGGGTAAAGGTGAATTTATCACCTTTCCCTATCAAATAACACTGAAAGGTGATAAATTTTACCTTTACCTTTGGACATCGGATTGTGAATAGATAATACATACCATCCCCATTTTCCCCATTTCAAATTGTTTGAGTTTATTGGATTTTCGAGCAAATTGAAATAAATCATATATCATTGGAAAGAGCAATAAGTTCTCTATAAATCCGTGCAAAAGTGAGCTTGATAGCTCGAATAGTTTTTGAGCAATTGAGTCTCAAAGTTGGCTTTTAGAATTCAGAAAAAGTACCCTTATGAAAAAGTCGATTTTTTTATTTTTTAGTTTTGCTCAATTTTGACTTCACCAAACGATAGAGCGGTTCCAAATTAGTGGAAAACAACCCTGACATCATTTCCAAATGGCCATTTTAAGCAAAAACAAAAATAAAAAGAAAATTCTATTTTTAGCACTGGGAAATTTTCAAAATGTTGACATGTTCATGAACAGTTGCCCATATCTTTGTTAAATTTCAAGCAAACCAAAATAAACTATATACCATTAGAAAGAACATTAAATTCTCTATAAACTCGTTCAATAGCTTGAATAGTTTTTGAGTAATTGAGCCTCAAAAGTGATTTTTAGTCCAAATTTTGCCAAAAACTTTAAACTCAATTTGCTCAAAAACTATAAACCTGGGAATATTGTAAATTACAGAGTTTATAGAGCTTATTAAGAGCTACAAATGCTTAAAATTTCAATGCAATTTGTTCAACGGTTACCGAGCAATTGAGGTTTGAATATTTTAAAATCAGAATTCAAAAGGGGTACCCTTATGAAAAACTCGATTTTTTTATTTTTCAGTTTTGCTAAATTTTGACTTTTCCAATCGATAGAGTGGGTCCAAATTAGTGAAAATCAACCCTGACATCATTTCCAAATGGCCATTTCAATCTGAAAAAAAAATTAAAAAGGAAATCCTATTTTTGGCTCTGGAAAATTTTCAAAATCTTGACATAGTCATGAGCAATTGCCCATATCCTTGTAGAATTTTGAGCAAATTGAAATAAGTTATATATCATTGGGAAGAGCAATAAATTCTCTATAAATCCGTGCAAAATTGAGTTCAATAGCTTGAATAGTTTTTGAGTAATTGAGCCTCAAAGTTGATTTTTTGTCCAAATTTTGCCAAAAACTCCAAACCCAATTTTCTCAAAAACTATAAACCTGGGAATATTGTAAATTACAGGGTTTATAGAGCTTATTAAGAGCTACAAATACTTGAAATTTCTTTGCAATTTGTTCAGCGGTTACCGAGCAATTGTGGTTTGAATATTTTGAAATCAGAGTTCAAAGGGGGACCCTTATGAAAAACTCGATTTTTTTAAATTTTTTAGCTTTGCTCAATTTTGACTTTACCAATCCATAGAGGGGATCAAAATTAGTGAAAAACAACCCTGACATCATTTCGAAATGGCCATTTTGAGCTGAAAAAAAATTAAAAAGGAAATCCTATTTTTGGCTCTGGAAAATTTTCAAAATCTTGACATAGTCATGAACAATTGCCCATACCTTTGTTAAATTTCAAGCAAACTAAAATAAACTATATCCCATTGAAAAGAGCATTAAATTCTCTATAAATTCGTGCAAAATTGAGTTTAATAGCTTAAATAGTTTTTGAGTAATTGAGCCTCAAAGTTGATTTTTAGTCCAAATTTTGCCAAAAACTTCAAACTCCATTTGCTCAAAAACTATAAATCTGGAAATATTGTAAATTACAGGGTTTATAGAGCTTATTAAGAGCTAAAAATACTTTAAATTTCAATGCAATTTGTTCAGCGGTTACGGAGCGATTGAGGTTTGAATATTTTTAAATCAGATTTCAAAGGGGGAAAAACTTGATTTTTTTATTTTTCAGTTTTGCTCAATTTTGACTTCACCAATCGATAGAGTGGGTCAAAGTTAGTGAAAAACAACCCTGACATCATTTCCAAATGGCCATTTTGAGCTGAAAAAAAAAATTAAAAAGAAATCCTATTTTTGGCTCTGCATGGAAAATTTTCAAAATCTTGACATGGTCATGAGCAATTACCCATATTTTTATTAAATTTTGAGAAAATTGAAATAAATTATATATTATTGGGAAGAGCAATAAATTCTCTATAAACTCGTGCAAAATTGAGTTTAATAGCTTGAATAGTTTCTGAGTTATTGAGCCTCAAAATTGTTAGTCCAAATTTTGCCAAAAACTTTAAACTCAATTTGCTCAAAAACTATAAACCTGGGAATATTGTAAATTACAAGGTTTATAGAGCTTATCAAGAGCTACAAATACTTACAATTTCAATGCAATTTGTTCAACGGTTACCGAGCAATTGGGGTTGAGTACTGAAAGTAGTTACTATTATATGTAGTAGAATTTCAAGTAATTTACTTCAAATATTGACAGCTCTGTGCAAAACTTTTGAAGTTGGTATGAGCTAAATACGCTGTACAAAAAATGTTGGATCATTACAATCTTGGAAATTTTAATGTATTTTATAACAACAATAAATTTATAACAAACACACTTGAGAAAAGCCAAAATGAATGAGCCATTTATCGTACAAACGTCATAACATAGTTAACAATAACCAATTTAAATTTGGCTGTCATCCATTCTTGTATTGTTAATGCAGTCGCGGACCGCCCCGATATTTCAATTCATTGTTGGCGAAGAATTAAATGAACCTTCAAAACATAAAGGATTTTAATCACTCATTCTTGTCTGCATCATCCCACGTAATCTAGTGAATTTTCTTTTCAGGTCTATTGGCGCAAAAAAACGAGAGCCTCCAGTACCGGTACCTCTGTCCGAAAAATTTCGAAAATGTCGGAAGAAAGTGCTACCATTTCAGTAGTACTACCGGAACTTGGTTCCAAGCTTACTTCAATTGTAGAGACTTGGCCGAAAGCAATTTCACAGTTTTCACTGATCGGTACGATCAGAGACAGTTGGAACATTTTTTGTTTAGGAATCGGAGCAAGAGCCGAGGTAAGTTTTGATTTTGATTTAAATTAGTTTTGTAATAATTCTTGTTTGTTGGAGCAAAGGTTAGATAGATATTAATTTTTTTCTAAATGAACATTACTTCACCTTTTAAATGCGTAAATAAATATGGAAATGTAGATTTTGCTATTATTATGATCAATAATTATGATCGTTGAGTATAAAAAAAAAGGATTAGGTATTGTATCATGCGCCAAAATGACTTCATACTATTTTATTGGCTATTATTTTTCGTTACACTCGGACAAATATAATGGACTTCTAACAATAATTGAAAGTCACATTGAAAATAGAATATTATGTCACATTGTGATTTATTAGCCAAGTTGCCTACTTAGAAAAAGCTGGAAGAATACCTACTTATCGAATAGTTTTATTTATTTGATTTTTTCAATTCATAATTATCCTAGTTGTAGGTACTTTTCTATCCTGATTTTATAAGCTTCATAAGACAGTAGGTATTACCTTGAATGAATGAATAAATTAGTTGGGGGTTTTGCTACACTGCGATCTGCATAGATCTATTGTGTCTTGTGTCCCTCTTCTTGGCGCTCCAGTTGATGGACTCTCGCTTAAAGCACATCATCCAGCCTTAATGCTTTTATGAAAGCAAGTACTCTGGATGCAGCATCCGAAGCAGGCCATTCGTGTATTCACGATCGCCTCGCATTCCGTTAGAAAGTGTTCAGGAGTTTCCTCCCCTTCCTCACAGAACCGGCAGCTGTTCTCGTATTTAATTTTATTTCTCTCAAGGTGCCCTCTCAACCGGCAGTGGCCTGTGAGGAATCCGGTGAGAATGCGAAGATTGTTTTTGCTCAATGATGTGAGGCCTTTCGGTCTCTCTTGGTCAGGGTACCCAAGAAACATCTTTGATTGCCTCAACCCTGGAAGTTGCTCCCAGAGGCTGTTCCATTTGGTCCGCTATTCCTTTCTGAAGGCTTCTTCATAAGAGTGTTTCCCTCTGCCGCAGAAAGGTTCCGGTCCTGAAATCGGGGTCTGTGCCCCTAATTTCGCTAGTTGGTCCGCCTTCTCGTTGCCTTCAATCCCTTCGTGTCCCGGTATCCACTGGAGGGATAGTTTGTTATCCTTGCCCAGTCTGTTCAACTTGTCCTGGCAATCCCAAACCATTCTGGAGCTGATTATTGGTGAGCTCAGCGCTTTAATGGCTGCTTGACTGTCGGAGAATATGACAATCTCTCTCTTTCTGTAGTTTCTGTCAAGATTGAACTCAAGCACGTCTACTTATAGTGTTTATTTCCGCCTGAAATATGTCCGGGTATTTTCCCATTGCTTCAGAAAACTTGGTTCCAGGCCCAAATACTCCAGCTCCGGTCCCTTGTTCGGTTCTTGACTCATCAGTGTACCATTTTATGGCTTTCTGCTGAGTTTTAGGAATGGATGTGGTATTTTCTTTCTATTCTTCTCTGCTTCTTATCACTACTGTGAAGTGTTTGTCCAGGTGCTGTGTTTTAGTCATATCGTTCCTGGGGAGCTCGAGGAGCGGAATAAGCTTGGTCAGAGATGCTAATTCTCTCCATCCTAGCCAACCTCCCTCGGCAGCTCCTTCCCTCGCGATTCTGGTTATTGCTCGTCTGGCAGCCCCCTCCACCACAATGTGAAGAGGTGCGAGACCTATAATTGTCTCGATGGCTGCTGTGGGGCAAGTTCTCGTTGCGCCTCTAATGCATGTGCAGGCCAGGCGCTGTAGTTTGTTGAGAGCTGCGTTTATGTTCTGCTTCTCAACTGCATTGGACCAGACTACCGATCCGTATAGTAGGGTTGGTCTTACTATCATGGTGTACATCCATCCCAAGATCCCTGGTTTGCATCCCCAATGTAGTGAATCTGATATAGCTATCTACTGCCTTCTCCATTGTCTTTAAAGATGTGAGGCTTATTGGTCTGAAGGATTTGGGGTCTGTCCCACCCTTCTTGCCTACCTTCGGAATGAAAGTGACTCTTGCCCTTCTCCATATTTGAGGTATATATCCCATTGCCATGCTGCTTCTGGTTATATCTACAAGGTGCGGCATGATCTCTGTTTTTCCTCTTTGTAGGAGTGCTGGAAAAATCTCGTCCACTCCTGGCGATTTCAAAGATTCGAATGTGGTCAATGCCCATTCGAGCCGCCTATTGGTGAGTACTACTTTTGCTATTTCCCAGTCCTCCCTTGTGGGGCGTCTGGGGTATGATCTTTCCTCACTTCTGTTTGTACCTTTGCTGCCTGGGAAGTGTTTGCTTAAAAAAAGGAGCGCACGCTCTTCTTCACCTTCCGTGTAGTTACCATCTGGCTTCTTAAGAGCCATTGTCAAACGCTCTCCTTCTTTGCCTTGCGTAGTCTAGCGGCTACTGGAGTCGAGGTGATGTTTTCACAGAAAGTCCTAAAGTTGTTTCTTTTTGCCTTTCTGATTTTTTTGTTGTATTCTGTGAGGGCCTCTGTGTACCGCTGCCACTCTCCGGTTCTCCTGGCTGTGTTGAATAAACACCGAGCCTGGGTCCGGAGGCGTGCCAGCTTTGCATTCCACCATGGCGCCACACTCGAGCGTTCTTTCGAAACCATGTGGCAGCTAGAGTCAAAAGCCTCTATTACTGCCTGGTTGACGAGCCCTACTTTCTCTTCCAGTTCTAGGTCATTTCCTATTCTTCCTGGGTTGATTGCTTTGAGATTTTCATCCAGATTGACTCTGTATAATTCCCAGTTTGTTCTCCTAGGATTTCTCCTGAGTTTTGCTTTGGAGGTGCTTATTTCTAGGCTGAACTCTATGATCTTGTGATCAGACAGGGAGGGTTCAGCCGAGACCCTCCAGTTTTTCACGTAGTTCTTTATTTCAGAACTACCAAATGTAATATCTAATACTTCCTCCCTAGCCCTTGTTACAAAAGTGGGTGTATTCCCTTTATTGTAAATATCAAAGTTCATTTCAAGTAAGTATTCAAAAAGGTGGTGTTGGTGTTTGAGCTACCCCAGAAGGTGCGCATTCGCGTCGCCTCCCACAAGGAGTGGGATGTTTTTCCCCCTACAGTGGTGCGCAAGCTCCTGCAGTTCAGCCAGGGGCGTGCGTGCCCCATCCCCAGCGAAGTATGCGGATGTTATGACAATGGTTCGTTGTCTGCCTTGGTGGTGGAAATTCACCATATTCGGCACTAGGTCCTTTGTCATGAATTCTGAAACACAAATTAATTAGTATGTCTTTTAATTACTATGCAGGCTCTAGGCATTTCGTGCCTGTCGTCCCATATTACCTTTGAGCTTTTGGTTGTCAGTCCTTTTACCTGTCCCCTGTAAACCCATGGTTCTTGGATCAGCGCAAGATCCACACACCCTTGCCCAACTAGCCTCGCGTGATGTAGGTTGACTTGGGCTACCCTGGTGGCTGTGTTGTCCATCAGGTTAGTTACTAGGACTGAGGTGAGGTGTCGTTGCCCTCACCTTGACGATCTCTGTCTCGTTTCTCAGTAACTCTTCCTCTTTTTCCGTGGGAAGCTCGTTCTCTGTGCCCTCAGCCCCGATGTTCTCTGTGTTGGGCTCGCTCACCATCGGCTCCGGTGCCTCTTTCCCTTTGGGGGAACTAGTGTTCCCGGAGGTGGCTCTTCCTGAGGGGATGGTGAATCTGTTTCCATCCTTTCCTCTGGCTCGTTTTTCGCCTTTCTTCAGGCCATGCACCGTGACGCGCCCAAACCTGTAGTGCATGGAGTGGTTTTGCGTCACGATCGCTTCGCTCGACTTGGTGTCTATGCCCAAGGTTAGCAGCTGACCATGCGATTGCTCCGAGCTAATCACCTTCCACGCCTCTGTTCTGAGGTCGGCATTTTGGGTTTTTAGGAGCTTGAGGAGTTTCTCGGCTTCTTGCCCTTTGCTCCTGGGAAGGAAGACCGTTATGGTGTGTGCTTTCGGGATGTTTTCTCGCGTGCACACAATTAAATCCGGCCTCTTCCATTCTTTCAGCCGGGATACCGTTTCCCTCAGCCAGATGACTGATGATCACTTCCCCTCTTGACCTCTTTGCTGTCCTCCACCTTGGATGAGGATACAGAATCAGGAGTCAGCGTTTGTTGCTTCAGCCTCTCTTCTTTCTCCTTGTCTACCCTTTCCCTGGCTGAATCAGGTGTCATGCCCTGTGCCAGGTACCTGAGGTGCTTCTTGACGCCTGCCCCGCTCAGGCCCCTCCTTCTCGGGTCATCTAGACCTTCTGGTTCTCCAAGTGCGGGGAGGTCTTCGGCAGAACTCCGGTGTTTTCCCGAACTACTGCCGCCCTCCCTCTGCGTTCTGTCTGAGGTGTCTACTCTCTTCTTACTTTCGGTTCTAGCCCGAGAACTTTCAGCAGTGTTTACCTGCCTAGTTTTATTAATTTTCTTACCCATAAGATTCCCACGAGTAGCTAGGGAATTAACGGTCCGCTCCTATAGAGCCCCGCATATAGGAGTAAGGGGTAGTTACGATGGGGTTCCCCCCTGTGCCCCAAAGGGATCGTTCTCGACATTGCTCCCCCAATGCCACGCAGTCCTTAGCATGATGCCTTCCGCCTTGGCTTAGGTTGAGCTGTCCTGTAGTCATGTCATCAGTTATGTAGTTATTATCTAATCACAATCTGTAGTCCAGAGGTACAGGTAAAATTTATCACCTTTCAATGCTATTTGATAGGGAAAAGTGATAAATTTACCTGTACCTTTGGACTAGAGATTGTGAATAGGAAGATTTATAATATAACTCCAATCAAAACTGTAGTGATAGAAGTTACATTGGAATTGAATAGGTATACACAGTCAAAGCTACTTATTCAAAGTTAAGGACGAGAGATATAGAAACTTCATCGTTTTAGTAACTGAGGTAGCTACCTTATGACTTAGTTTAGATTTTAGAGATACTTTTCGCTGAAGAGTTTCTATACAAAAGATAACCAACGCACATCTGATTCAAGTAAAACTTCAGGATTTCATTGAAGATATAGCAAAGAGAAGCACCTGCATAAGAAATGGTACCTAACAGAAACTAAAGATATAGAAATTTCCGTTAAGAACATTGAGAGATGCAAAAATCATTTCAGGGGAAAACATCAGTCATATTTTCGTCTAGATAATTGGTAATAATGGTATTGGATTAACCTTACATGGAGTACATGATGATGATTCAAATACCCTGAGAATGTCTGTAGATTGCTCCATAAATTTGAAAGACGAGTGGTCTACGTAATTGGTTTGCGTTGAACAGGATGATAGAATTTCCTAATTATATCAGCAGAATGGCTCCAAGAAGTATGTGGATTCTTGACAACATTTCATCAAAGATTTCGTAAATTCATAGAATGTACGATGTTTGTACCATTGAAAACAGTTAACCAAAAACTTTGAGTCATTTCAGACTTGGTTTACTTGTACGTTTTCTAAAAATGAAGAAATGTATACAATTTCTGCTAGAGTTTATAATGTTTCATATGTCTGAATGTTTCCACTCTTCCAATTGACTTCATTTCCATACTATACCTACACTAATAGATTTATGAACCCAAACTAACCTAGGTCATAGTTCCAAATTGAAACATCCTGTGCCCACGTACTATTCCGTGCCACGAGCTGAAAATTATCAAATCTTCCTCTTTAAGCGTCAAATTGCACAGCCCAAATCTTTTTCTGGTTTATTCAAATTGTTTATTTCCGAATTCCTTGGCAAATAAACATCAATTAGTACGCCTACATCCTACTTTATTTCAAGTTTCTAATACATATGTAGAGGATGAAAATAATAAAAATACACAACAATTATGGTTGTTCCAGGCTATTTGATTTATTTTTTATTTATTGGACCTTAACGCAGATTGATAGGTATAAGTATTAGCAACCCTATTATCTTTCAAAACATTTATATGCACGATAATTGAACATCTGAAGAGGAAATAGTGCCTAATTAGATACTTTTTCAAAATAAAGAATTTGCATATCAATTCTGCTAAAGAACCTAATGAACCATAATGAGATAATGGCTCAGAAATCTAAAAAAGGAAGACATATTCATACATTATTTACACCAATGGTACCTAGACTCATGTGTTCGCTTATTGGCATATTATGTTTCACAACAGCAATTATTTTTAATAATGTAAAAACCTTCACATTTTTACAAAATCCCATTATAAATTTGGGTTTATTAACCGAATGGCTATTTGAATTATATAGAGCAGCAAAGTTCTCCCAGCTGTGGCCATTTAATGTTAGTAGAGATAAGAGTGAAATACGAATACCCGCCTACTCCAATAAATAAATATACTAATTGGCATTTATTAGCTACCTATTGAATTTCCTTAACAATTGTATAACTTTTCTTATGCACGCGAACAAATTTGTTTTAGATCATAACGCAAACTCTCTCTGGGTAGGAGGTTTCAAAGACTGGAAACAGAAAAAGTGGATCTACACAGATGGATCTTTGATGCATTATCCTTCCAAAAAAGAAATTATTATAAACGAAGAAGAAGATAATTGGACGTGTTTGCTTATTGACGGTAACAGCAGAAGGTAATAGAAAAATTTGTTTTATTTTTTGGTATTTTTCAAAAGTTATTATTTCATTACTCATTGAAAATTCCAAGTGAATGTATTTACAAGAATACAAATTAGGCTTAAGCAAATATTGGTTTTTACAATTATTCAAATCTTGTTAAACATTAAATTATGATTCATGGGAAATTACTCTATTTAGAAATGCGCTAATTTATTTTCTTTGAATTGAAATACATTCATATATCCAAACATTGTGATAAATATAGCTGGAAAAAAATGACTCACAAATACAACTTTAAAGTTTTGGTTGTATGTGAATTTTTTTCACATTTTCTAGGCTGGATACATAATATCCTAATTTGAAAGGAGCAAGGACACATTAAACATCCTAGTGGTACACTTTCGAAAATTCTTGTTTCTATAAATTTTCCTATCAACTTGTGTAGTGTCTATAGTGCCTTAAACTTTCACCAGAATCCTAATTCATTCCTTTGCAGATGGAGAGCAGAAAACTGTATGGAAAAACGACCGTTCATCTGCGAAGCCAAAGCAGTAGCTTCGGTGGTACTGAAAGTATTGGACAAAAAATTCAAAAGAAAAATCACCATAGACGAGTGCATCAGCAACACCGAATTGTTGACTCCCAAACAAAAACGGAAATGTCTAAAAATGTTAGATGGTGTGCAAAATGGTCGAGATCTTCTTGGTGAACCGGCAGCAGTAAGTGAGTAATATAGAAATGGTCTCGATGTTTGATATAGCTTTATTCTTCTTCTTGTTCATTCGCCACTAGAGATCTTTTGGACTCGAGCTTCTTTCAATGATTTCCATGCACATCTTTGAAAGCGGTTTAGTTACAGTTTTTTTTTCTTCGCATAACTCTGCTTTGTGTTTCTGAGAGTACCATTTGGCCTAGTCAATGCGCCTACTGCCTTCCAGTCAGCCATGAATAAAATTTTAGTTTCACTACGTTTTAAATATGCATTGGTATATCTCGATGACGTGATTATACCATCAGAAACCGTCGAACAAAGCTTGGAAAGGCTCGAGTTAGTCTTAAAAGCATAACGAGAGGCAGGAGTGACTGCAATTTCCTGCAGTCAAGAATTGAATACTTAGGCCACAAAGTATCAAGGAAAGGAATTAGGCCGGGACCAGACAAAATGAATGCTGTCTCAGAGTTTCCAACACCTAAATCTGTCCATGACGTACAACAATTATTAGGTTTGGCTAGTTATTTCCGCAAGTTCCTAAAGGGATTCGCTGGTACAGCAAAACCAATAGCCTCATTAACGCGAAAAGATTGTAATTTTGTTTGGGGCGAAGGACAATAAAATGCTTTCGCTGAATTGACCCTTCTGGATAACGAAGTTGCCAGAGAATCTGATTATCCATATGCTAGTGACATTTTGTTGGTCAAGAAAAACAATGACGAAGTTAAAATGTGCGTCGACTATCTTCTGCTGAACAAGAAGACTGAGAAAATGTTCTCAAATTTGCCTCGAATAGATGACCTTCTAGATAATCTCCAAGGTAATACATTTTTACCACCCTGGATCTGGTTTCTGAGTACCATATATCAGATCCCTATGGAGAAAGAGTTTATCCCAAAAACAGCTTTTGTTACACCCGATGGACACTATAAGTTTCTGAGAGTACCATTTGGCCTAGTCAATGCGCCTACTGTCTTCCAGTCAGCCATGAATAAAATTTTAGTTTCACTACGTTTTAAATATGCATTGGTATATCTCGCAGACCATAAGACTAACTCTTTTCAACTTGGTTTGTATAGGTAATTTCGATAGTTGCTCTATTCATACTTCGGAAAAACTCATCATCACAGTTAATTATTATTGAAAATAAATCGCAAATAAATATATCTATCAATACATAATTAAATTTTATTACCATCAGAAATGTATACATTTGTTTGTTATTTTTGCCAAAACTCATAAAGATAAATATGGATTCCCGAAACTCATTTTCCAAGCTTTATTTTTATGGCAATAATCTTACGCAAAAATTTAAACAAACAACCTAAATTTAAATATCGGCCTGCGTTGTAAATTTTAAAACGTCATAAACTGAAACCCAAAAAATCCCAGTGAGTTCACTTCATTCAAGGCAAACTGATGTTAAATTTTATGTGGATCAAGGAAAAGTATAATTTTATCATAAACAAAAGTAAACATAAATTTGTTAATAATAATAAAAACTTAAGTTCGTTATTTGTTTTCAAAAAATATTATCCCATACCTGAATATTATACTTATACCATTGATGTGTCATTCGATGTATATTAAAGAAGGAAGGTCTACATGACATATAGATTTACCATCTATTAACCATAATAATTGTTGTCGGAAAATCGTAAATAATAGAAGGCAGTCGTACTGGAAACGTACACTGTCAATTTATTTTCTTATTTATCGCTTATATGGTAATTTCACAACGACAAGTCATAAATACCTGTTGAATCATCAAGTACCCTTAGAGCTGATTTAAAATAATTTGATGTAATATTAAAGCAACTGCCAAAAAAATAAATTGATTCAAATCACAAATAATCCCAATTGAAATAAACCTTGATCATTTTCTGGTTGAATGTATTTAATTACCGATAACCCCAGGAAACAATAAATCTTAAGTTACAATGTCACTGATGTAGATTTAACATGACAGTCGAGAGTTATTAGATATTAGTTAATTATGTTATAATTTTTTATTGTTGCATAGATAAATGTTTATTTTAGAGATGCATTATTGTCATTATATTATATTCATCAAGGTGTTTTGATATTTTACTTATTAGAGTTAAACTCCAACTAAAATTGTCTAGATAATTCCGTGTTCTTTATTCAATTTGTTCATCTCACAGCAATCTTTTACTAAGAAATTTATAGTTGAGTTGATATATCTTTGAATCCCGTTTACTATAATTTCTCTTTTGTTCCAGTACAGCAGGCCAAGCCAGCTTTCTCAGCCCAACCTGCAATAGTGAGAGCAGTAAGTCACATTTGCCCACAAAACTGGATGTCGCTGGGTAACCAGTGCTACCTTTTCAGTAAGGAAAAGGTCACGTGGTCCGATGCCCACTTCAATTGCGGTCAAATCAATGCTAAGTTAGCTGTGATAAGGTCTAAAGTGCAAGATCAGAAGTTGAGGATCTTTCTGAATGGATTTACTGGTAAGAACTTATAATTGTAATGCAAAACTAGGGTCCAAAATCAATTAAAAGTACAATAATTTAACTTGATATCAAAAATTTTACATAACGATTAATGATACAATCTCAAAATTCTGCCTTTGTGGCATGTGCAACATGTTTGTATGCAGATATGATGAATAGATTCTAAAGGGAAAACCACTCGGGAAGTGTCAAACTTTGCTACAGGAAGTGCAGAGAAAGTAAGGGAATTTTCAAGGAAGTTTCTGAAAACTCGGGGAAGTAGGTACCTACAAGGAAGTTCAAATAGTGAAAGCTTTTTTTAAATACTCAAATTTTAAAACAAGAAATACCAAATCACAAAGAATGTTCTAATTCATAAATTTGATAAGCCGTTTATATGAAAGAATGAAAGAAAGTATAGGGAAGTTTAGAAAAATTTGAAGAATTTCACAGGAAATTATTGAGAAATTCCGAGGAAGTCGAAGGAATGCCAAAAAAATCAAGCTATTTTAGTAGGTAGTTACTACTACTACAGGTAATTGTATTTCACTTTAATGAATGATTCTAAGGGGAAAACCACCTGGGAAGTTTTAAACTTTTCTATGGGAAGTGCAAAAAAAGTAAGGGAATTTTCAAGAAAGTTTCTGAAAACTCGGGGAAGTACAAGGAAGTTCAAATAGTGAAAGATTTTTTTTTAAATACTCCAACCCCAAAACAAGAAATACTTACCAAATCACAAAGAATTTTCTAATTCATAAATTTGATTAACCGTCTATATGAACGAATGAAAGGAAGTACAGGGAAGTTTAGAGAAATTTGAAGAATTTTACAGGAAATTATTAAGAAATTCCGAGGTAGTTGAAGGAATGACAAAAAAAATCAAGCTATTTTAGTAATTACTACTACTATAGGTTTTTGTATTTCACTTTAATGAATGATGAAGATTTCAAGAGGAAAACCACCTGGGAACAAGTTTTAAATTTTGCTAAAGGAAGTGCAGAGAAAGTGGGAGAATTCTGAAGGAAGTTTCTGAAAACTCGGGGAAGTACAAGGAAGTTCAAATGGTGAAAGATTTTTTTTTAAATACTCAAACCCCAAAACAAGAAATACCAAATCACAAAGAACTTTCTAATTCATAAATTTGATTAACCGTCTATATGAAAGAATGAAAGGAAGTACAGGGAAGTTTAGAGAAATTTGAAGAATTTTAGAGGAAATTATCAAGAAATTCGAAGGAAATCGAAGGATTGCCAAAAAAAAATGAAGCTATTTTAGTAGTTATATACCTACTACTACTACTTACTACAGGTAACTGTATTTCACTTTAATGAATGATGAATAGATTATAAGGGGAAAACCCCCTGGGAAGTTTTAAGCTTTGCTAAAGGACATGCAGAGAAAATAAGGGAATTCTCAAGAAAGTTTCTGAAAACTGGAAGAATTACAAGGAAGTCCAAATAGAAAAAGCTTTTTTTAAATACTCAAACTTTAAAACAAAAAATACCAAATCACAAAGAATTTTCTACTTAATTCATAAATTTGATTAACCGTCTATATGAAAGAATGAAAGGAAGTACAGGGAAGTTTAGAGAAATTTGAAGAATTTCACAGGGAAAGCCAGAGAAATCACTTACACTTTTGGCTTTACCTCTATCCAAGAAAGTGCAGAGGAAATAATGTCGAAGTTCCAGGAAAATGCAAGCAAGGATGAAGTGAGAGGGAATTGAAATGGGAAAAGATGGTCCCTAGACAGCAGACAAAGTTTCAAAGACATCTTTGTTATGTCTACATTGCGTCTGAAAGTCTGAAGACCAAAAAAAAAAAAGGCGCCTAGAAGACGTCCATAAGATAAGACATCTCGTTAAAAACGTCTGGAATGTCTGGGAAAAATGTCATAAAGACGTTTTTAGGCAGACGTTTGAAAGACGTTGGGTTTTGTAACATACGACGTCTTCAAGATGTGAACACATAAGCAGACCCCAAAAAAACCTATTGAATATCGTTTGTGGACACCTTAGTGACGTGTTTAAGATGTCTACAAAAACTTCCCACGTAATTCGTTACTCATGCAATTTAAAAGTTACTGGAAATCTGTAAAATACTACAGAACATCTTAGAACTTTAATAAGCCTTTTGGAAAGTTCAAAACTCAATTCAGAATTTCAAAAAGTTTTCTGTAACGCTTCAGAACAATTTAGAAGCTTCAGAACCATTTTAAAATGCTCCAAAATATTCAAAACCGTACCTATTGACAATTTCCAAAAGCATTTCAGAACAATTCAGATGCTTGAACCCCATTTTAGGACGCTCCAAAAACACTCACCGAACCACCTGATTTCTCCTGCTGATACATGAAATGGAAACACTGCCAGATTGTCATAGTTAATAAACATAATAAAATACTTAACAATGCTCAATACCAGTAGTCTTATTATTATGAACCTTTTACTCAGTCACTTGCATTTGGAGAATGGTACAAAAGAATATATTTTGATATCAAATTTTACTCCATTTTCAGAAAAACATGAAAGATGGATTGGTGGAAGATACAACACTAAAACAAACCAATGGATTTGGGCTTTGAATGGCAAATCCTTAAAATACAACGGATTCATCAAAGAAAATATCCCCAATAACGGTACCGAGGGTTTGAATTGGCAAGCCATTGTCATGGACCCAGAACATGCTTATAGGTAAGCTAAAAATACAATTGACTTTATAATTCTGATTATTTAAATTTTAGATGGACGCACCGTAACGAAATGGAAAAACACTTTTACATTTGCCAAGTCAAAGGGCGGGCTGTAAAAAGACTAAACTACCCAAGACGACCGTCAGCTACCATAGAAATAATTTCCGACAGAAAAAATCAGAGAAGAAATCAACAAAATGTACAGTTTAGGAATAATAGGACTAGCCGGAGAGCAGGGAGAAATAAAAGAACATAGAGTTAAAGTACATAGTTTTTAGTAAATGCGCAAACACGACAAAATCTACTAAGTGGTATTCAATTTAATTTAAACAATGCCTCATTGTACAATGGAGATATCAAAGAGAAAATTATAAGCTTTGACCATATTATTATCTGCAAAGTAGTTTGTGACATAATTATGAGAAAAGCACTGATAAAGTTACCTACCTTTTATGGAAAACTGCTGCTTTCAACACAAATTAATAAGTAGGTATGAAAATGCTTACTTATTTTGCTAAACAAGTAATAATTCATTGTTAATTTTTGCTAGTTACCTACTACTTTTCTACTTTACACATCTTATTATTTGTATTTATTTTGATAATACATTAATCATCATTTATTTAGTGATCAAACATTTCATTGTTAACCATTTGTGTTCAGAATAACTGCCATTTTTGTTTATAAGAATTATAAAATTGCTTCAGCTAGTAGGATATTACCAAGTATTTGAATATTCTAATATTGAAATAAACAATCTGATGATATCTTGTCCATTAACAAATAAATAGAGACTGTTTCATAGTGATGGAAAAACTATAGCAGTTAGCAACTCAAGTTGTATCATACAAATTATAAAATATTTGTAATTGAAATGTTCGTTACCTATATGGTTGCTTTTTTGTAAAAATGTTTATTTAATAAAACTGTATTTTTAATTGATTTCTCTTCTATTTTCTTTGTCACAATCTTAATACAAGACTGTAGTGAGTGAGGATTGGGATCTTCTACGCCCCATATAGGTTTTCTTCCATTGAGCCTGTACAAAGAAGACCGGTAAAAACAGGTACTTAATAAAGGTAGTTTTGTTACAAGACAAAATAAAAAAACAGATAGTAAATTAATTCTTTATTGAAGAACTATTCAAAATATAATTATTTTACAAATAAATAATCACTTATCTCTAACAGTAGATAATAATAGAACTAATACAAAAGTAATTCCTGGCAAAAATATTTGTACTATACTTATAACTAAAAACCAAATAAGATAAAAAATAAATTTGGATAAATGGCAACTCAAGAGTAATAGAGGACCGTTTTTACACAAGAAAATATAATATAAAATAGATAGTAGGAAGCATAATAAATTGATTCTTTTTTAAAGTAATCAGGCTGAAAAAATATCACGTTTTATAATTAAATTTTAAATAAAACTTATTTTGTCAAATGATTAAATATACACTCAGAGTCTTTACATGTGCCGTTAATTTCGAAGGGGCAAATTGAAACTAAGGGATTCCAACGAGTTTGTCTGTAAAAAATACTTTAATTGTTTGTCAAGAAAGTTCCAACCGTAAATATCTATCTAATTTCGGCTCAAATATTACCTTTCATGATGTTCCAATGGCGACTTGTACTCGGACGTCTCCACCTTTTTCACCTCATCACATTGCTTTCTATTTTTAGTTTTTTCAATAATCTCATCAATATCATTTGGGTCTCTTATTTTATTTTCACTATCATCATCATCCTGTATGGTGGTTTGGTCAAAAACGCTCGAACCAGATTTGTCACAAACTAGTGATTGATCCGAAGTTATGGTTGAAGCTAATAAAGTCATTGCTGGTAGAGAGGGTTTAATGGGAGTTGACGTTACAAGGGCATTATTGGATTTAACTGGTTTTAATGCGCTGGAAAAGAAGAAAATTATATTCTATTTACGAACGATTTCTGATGCACTCCAACCTCTTTAATTTTTTAATTTCATCATCTTCCTGCCTCAAAGCTGTCAATTTTTCTGTAGTTTTTCCATTGACCTTATCAATATTATTCAGATCTGTAACTTTATTTTCAGTGCCAACTTTTGGTTGATCCTTATTCTTTGCGGTTTGGGTAAGAGTTTTCAACTCAGACTTTTCAGAGATAAGTTTTTGGCCAGCAGATATTGCAGATGTTATTAGAGGGGGATTTGAAATTATTGACGCCTTATTTGGTATTGCTGGTTTTAGTGAGCTGAAACAGAATAAAATTCAATTTGAATAAGTGAATTTCAAATATGTACAGGGTGTCCGAATTTGGATGGTTTTGATAGGAAACGTCAATTTCTGAGCGAGATACAAAAAAATGAACCCCCCACTCCGAGGCTCAAATTTCTTGAAATTTTGATTGGTGCAAACCGCATTTTGATATCTTCAACCGTTTAGCCGCTAGAGGGCGATTCTCGATTTTGAGCAATACTGTGAAATCTTCATAACTTTTTTGTTTATAAAAATAACTGATTTTCGTAAAAACTTTTTCAAGCAGAATTCAGTGACATTTTCGGTTTTTTTCTATTGGGCCTCGATTTCAAGATATTGACCAAAATTTTTCAATGGGACACCCTATATATTAATAGAGAGTTATTGGACGTGCAATAAGGACAAAAAGTATTTAAATAAGCCTTATTTTGACATCTACGCATGCGCTTTTGGGTCCGAAAATAAGGATTCCCTTAATAAGGTTACTGCTTGTCTTTATTTGTGTATGGTTAGTGCGAGGCAGTAAACTTCCCTTATTTCAAATTTCTGACATTTTGGACGACTTTGACGTTTTGCTTTTCGAGGATGACGTAATTTTACTTAGAAAATTTATTTTTTACAATAGTTTTCCATTTTACTGTGGGTAACATCAAAAAATGAGTATCAGCAGAAAATCACAAACAAAAACAAACACTTTCTGAGGCTGAAATTTATTAACATAGCTATCATCTGTCAGAGTTATAAATACAAAATAAGGTAATACTCTAGCACCTACTACAGTCTTCCAATAACTGTTTTTTTCTTGGAAAAATAGTGCTGATGCACTAATAAAATAACGTAGATCCTTAATACCGCGAGGCAGTATTTAATAGTTCCAATAACTCTCTAATAGCTCTCTTAAAAGCTCTGCTTTTCCTGATTTCAATGATATGAATTTCGATAGGTTTATCTCTAACAGTTTTCGAAAAAAAAAATTATTTCGTTTTTTTTCCATAAGAAACAATGTGTTAAAAAAGGTCTTTATATTTGTAAGGAAAATGAGAAAGGTCTCTTTCTAACTCATTGTTTCCTATGACAAAAACCAAAATATTTTTTTTTTCTGGAAAACCGTTAGAGATAAACCCATCGAAATTTGTATCATTGAAATCAGCAAAACCAGAGCTTTCTAAAGAGCTATTCATATATAGGGTGTCCCATTGAAAAAAATCGGATTTTGGTCAGTATCTTGAAATCGAGGCCCAATAGAAAAAAACTAAAAACGTCACTGAATTCTGCTTGAAAAGGTGCATTTAGGAAGTTTTTACGGAAATCAGTTATTTTCATAAACAAAAAAGGTATGAAGATTTCACAGTATTGCACAAAATCGAGAATCGCCCTCTAGCGCCTAAACGGTTGAAGATATCAAAATGCGGTTTGCACTAATCAAAATTTTAAGAAATTTCAGCCTCGGAGTGGGGGGTTCATTTTTTTGTATCTCGCTCAGAAATTGACGTTTCCTATTAAAACCATCCAAATTCGGACACCCTGTACAGAGTGGTCCAGATTGGACACTTTCTTATGGAAACACAACCTTTATTTTTAGAAATAGAAAAAAATGAACCCGCCACTCTGAGGCTCAAATTTCATGAAATATTGATTGGTGCAAACCGCATTTTGATATCTTCAACCGTTTAACCGCTATAGGGCGATTCTCGATTTTGTGCAATACTGTGAATTTTCATAACTTTTTTGTTTATGAAAATAATTGATTTCCGTAAATACTTTCTGGAAACACTTTTTTAAACAGAATTCAGTGACGTTCTCAGTTTTTTTCTATTTGGCTCCGATTTCGAGGTATTGTCCAAAATCCGATTTTTCTCAATGGGACACCCTATATATTAATAGCTTATTGGAAAGCTCTGCTTTTGCTGATTTCAATGATATAAAGTTTGATAGGTTTATCTCTAACAGTTTTCAAGAAAAAAAAAATTATTCCTGTTCTTTTCATAAGAAACAATGTGTTAGAAAAAGACCTTTCTCGTTTTCCTTACAGATATAGTCCTTTTCCAACACATTATTTCTTACAAGGGGCAAATGACCTAGAAATTATTTGTCAAAAATGTCGGGAATTTGTAGGGACTTTGAAGGATCTCATCGGAATTTATGAGAATTCGGGGAATTTATAGGGAATTTAGAGAAATTTATGGGGAATTTGGAAGAATTTGTGAGGAATTTATGAGGAATTTAACGGAAATTGTAAATAGATCCAGTTTTGTGTTGGACATTGGACATTTTTGTAGGCTGATTTCCAAGATGCTTCATGTTGTTATTTTCTACTGGAAAAATTTGAAATTTTGGGAAAATGCGCTTCTCGCGTTCCTCTTTACATGCAAAAAGTTTCAAAATTTTTCCTCCACTAGTTTTCCAGGAAAATTTTGAAATATGAGAGACTGAATTTTCAATTAATTCAGTTGTAGTAGGTTGATTTCCAAGATTCCTCATGTTGTTATTTTCTACTGAAAAAATTTGATATTTTGGGAAAATCAGCTTCGCACCTTCCTCTTTACATGCAAAAAGTTTCAAAATTTTCCCTTCACTAGTTTTCTAGGAAAACTCTGAAATGTGTGAGACTGTATTTTCAACTAATTCAGTTTTTGTAGGTTGATTTCCAAGATTCTTAATGTTGCTGTTTTCCACTGGAAAAATTTGAAATTTTGGAAAAATGAGCTTCTCACCTTCCTCTTTATATGCAAAAAGTTTCAAAATTTCCCCTTCACTAGTTTTCCTGGAAAACTTTGAAATGTGAGACAGTATTTTCAACTAATTCAGTGTTTGTAGGTTGATTTCCAAGATTCTTCATGTTGCTGTTTTCCACTGGAATAATTTGAAATTTTGGGAAAATGAGCTTCTCACCTTCCTCCTTACATGCAAAAAGTTTCAAAATTTTCCCTTCACTAGTTTTCCAGGAAAACTTTGAAATGTGTGAGACTGTATTTTCAACTAATTCAGTTTTTGTAGATTGATTTCCAAGGTTCTTCATGTTGCTGTTTTCCACTGGAATAATTTGAAATTTTAGGAAAATGAGCTTTCCAGTTTTCACCTTCCTCTTCACATGCAAAAAGTTTCAAATTTCTCTGTTCACTAGTTTTCTAAGAAAACTTTGAAACGTGTGAGACGCTATTATCAACTCATTCAGTTTTTGACAGATTAATGTCCAAGATTCTTCATGTGGCTGTTTTCCACTGGAAAAGTTTGAAATTTTGGGAAAATGAGCTTCTCACCTTCCTCTTTACATGCGAAAAGTTTCAAAATTTCCCCTTCATTAGTTTTCCTGGAAAACTTTGAAATGTGTGAGACTGTATTTTCAACTAATTCAGTTTTTGTAGGTTGATTTCCAAGGTTCTTCATGCTGCTGTTTTCCACTGGAATAATTTGAAATTTTGGGAAAATGAGCTTCTCACCTTCCTCTTTACAGGCAAAAAGTTTAAAAAATTTCCCTTCACTAGTTTTCCAGGAAAACTTTGAAATGTGTGAGACTGTATTTTCAACTAATTCAGTGTTTGTAGGTTATTTCCAAGGTTCTTCATGTTGCTGTTTTCCACTGGAATAATTTGAAATTTTGGGAAAATGAGCTTTTCACCTTCCTCTCCACATGCAAAAAGTGTCAAAATTTTCCGTTCACTAGTTTTCTAAGAAAACTTTGAAACGTGTGAGACGCTATTATCAACTCATTCACTTTTTGACAGGTTAATTTCCAAGATTCTTCATGTTGCTGTTTTCCACTGGAAAAATTGGAAACTTTGGGAAAATTAACTTCTCACCTTCCGCTTTACATGCAAAAAGTTTCAAAATTTTCCCTTCACTAGTTTTCCAGGAAAACTTTGAAATGTGTGAGACTGTATTTTCAACTAATTCAGTTTTTGTAGGTTGATTTCCAAGATTCTTCATGTTAGGTACTGTTTTCAGTGTTTTCCACTGGAAAAATATGAATTGGTTTTAACACTGAGTGTAATAAAATAGAAAAATAGATTTCTTATCACGAACAATTGTGAGGATTTTTATGGAATTTGTAACAGGCATTTACAGGGAATTTGCAAGCAATTTGGAAGAATTTGTGGAAATTGTTTGCACGAATTCGGGAGGCTAGTTTACCCCTCGGTTTACCCCTAGGTTACTTATCACAAAAATCAAAATAATTTTTTTTTCGGAAACCGTTGGAGATAAACCTATCGAACTTTATATCATTGAAATCAGTAAAAGAAGAGCTTTCTAATGGGTTATTGATATATAGGGTGTCCTATTGAAAAAAATCGGATTTTGATCAATGGGTGGTATGAATAAAAACGAAGTACTTGCTACTACTACAAGTATTAGTACGTTCTACGTAATATTTACTTCAAAACGAAGTAGATACTACTAATTTACTAATTTCCGGTAGTGTCGAAATGTAGTATCTACTTCGTTTTGAAGTAAATACTACGTAGAATATACTAATACTTGTAGTAGTAGCAAGTACTTCATTTTTATTCAGACCACCCAATATCTCGAAATCGGAGAGGGAACTTGACAAAAAATTTAAACATGAAAATATTACTATAAATCATAAGAATACATTTATTAAAACCTATATCAGCGAAAAAAACAATTTTTTTTTGTCGCAAACGGCCACAATAAGGAATTGAAAATGCAGAAAAATTCAAATTATTTCCAGCGGGAAAAAACGCTCTGGCACTGGTCGTGACGTCATGTGTTATGATTTGTCAGTGTCTGTCAGCAACCGTCCATCACACCGTGAGTTCGTCTTGAAACACTGAGCACTCTGAGCATTTTCCGTCTTTTTTTCTTATGATGAGAAGAACAGGGATAAAAGAACAAAACAGCAACTCCGAGCGTTTACTCGAACTCTACATAATAAATACCCGTTAGCTGTGTTTATTTACGTTTTTCTCTGATTTTTTAAAATTTTATCAATATTAGAATTGGTTTACTTCGCTTAAATTCAATGATTAGCCTAGCATTATATAAATAAAACGATATACCTATTAATTATGACCAAAGAAGGAAATTCCAAAGGGCAATCCGCCAATCTATAACTTGTTATATGTTTATAGTAACAAAAGTAAGTAGGTATGTGCATTTGCCGAATGCTAGAGCAAAAAACACTGTACCCAACGTTGGATCTAACGTTGGGGCCAATGGTTGGACACATCGTGTGGCGCCGGCTTAACGCAAAATCATACTACGTGACGTCATCCAGATTTAGGGTCGTTTGAAATGCTTTTAATTCGCGCGAAACTTTAAACATTTTTCACCAAGTTATTATTGAGTATTAGGGAATAATATTTGGGGATAACTCTTTCAAGGCATAAATAAATGATTAAAAAAAAAAAAAAAAAATTGTAAAGTTCCCTATTCTACTTTAAAAAGTGCTTGTAGAGAGTCTTTACGGAAATCAATTATTTCCATGAACAAAAAAGTTGTGAAGGTTTCACAGTATTGCAAAGAATTGAAAATCGCCCTCTAGCGGCTAAATGGTTGAAGATATCAAAATGCGGTTTGCACCAATCAAGATTTCATGAAATTTGAGCCTCAGAGTGGGGGGTTAATTTTTTTCTATTTCTAAAAATAAAAAAATGTTGCCATAAGAAAGTGTCCAATCTGGAGCACCCTGTACAAGATAACTTTTTATTTAGATGTTTATAGTATCATTTCAAATACCCTGAATACAGCATTAAGTTTAATTTTGTGCGTTAGTTCAGTGTCAGTATTTAAGACAAAACTTGATAGTCATGCCCCATATAGAGCTTAAACCAAAACATATCCTCAAAAGCTGCTAGTTAATAGTGCAAAAATGGGCTTATAGATTTCACCTAAGCCTATATCGAGTAGATAGTAATAGTAATAATGTGTAGTCATACAGAAATTATTACTCCTTGTACAGGGTGGTTCAAATTGGACACTTTCTTATATGGTAACACCCTTTATTTTTAGAGATAGAAAAAAAATGGACCCCCCACTCTGAGGCTCAAATTTCATGAAATCTTGATTGGTGCAAACCGCATTTTGATATCTTCAACCGTTCAGCCGCTAGAGGGCGATTCTCGATTTTGAGCAATACTGTAAAGCCTCCATAAATTTTTTGTTTATGAAAATAATTCATTTCCGTAAAGACCTTTTGGAAGCACTTTTTGAAGCAGAATTCAGTGACGTTCTCAGTTTTTTTCTGTCTGGTTTCGATTTCGAGATATTGACCAAAATCCGATTTTTTTCAATAGGACACCCTATATATTAATAGTTTATTAGAAAGCTATGCTTTCGCTGATTTCAATGATATAAAATTCGATAGGTTTATCTCTAACAGTTTTCGAGAAAAAAAATTATTTCGGTTTTTGTCATAAGAGACAATGTGTTGGAAAAGGACTTTACATCTGTAAGGAAAACGAGAAAGGTCTCTTTCTAACATTGTTTCTTATGACAAAAACAGAAATAATTTTTTTTCTCGGAAACTGTTAGGGATAAACCTATCGAACTTTATATCATTGAAATCAGTAAAAGCAGAGCTTTCCAATAAGCTATTAATATATAGGGTGTTCTATTGAAAAAAATCGAATTTTGGTCAATATCTCGAAATCCGAGTCAATTAGAAAAAAACTGAGAACGTCACTGAATTCTTCTTAAAAAAGTGCCTCTAGGAAGTCTTTACGGAAATCAATTATTTTCATAAACAAAAAAGTTATGAAGGTTTCACAGTATTGCTCAAAATCGAGAAACGCCCTCTAGAGGCTAAACGGTTGGAGATATCAAAATGTGGTTTGCACCTATCAAAATTTCATGAAATTTGAGCCTCAGAGTGGGGGGTTAATTTTTTTCTATCTCTAAAAATAAAGGGTGTTTCCATAAGAAAGTGTCCAATTTGGACCACCCTGTACAATACTGATTTCTTAAAACTTGTTTTTTTTCTACTGCTATAGCAGTTACAGCTTGCGAATGTGCTAGAAAGAATGAATTGGGAATAGCTATTAGACAACTGAAAAGACTCTTGATAAGAGGTAAATTTGTAATGAAAATGAACTCAGATTTTATCAATAATGATCCAGTAGATCAGAAATACCCGAGGAAAGACTTACACCAGAATAATACAGTTTCAGTGTATAAATCACAATCTGAGCTAAATCTGACTTACCACAAGACCAGGAATTGCTTGAATACACATCAGGCTTAATTCAGCAAAAGGATTATTTGGGACAGCAGCAATACTTAATGATAGAAAAATTTAAGTTATACAAAAATACACACAGATTTGTTTTCTTTTTCTGAAAATAACAGGGTAACTTATCAACTGAACTGATGGAATACTTAAATGTGCAAGAGAACATTTAGTTTATATTTCTGACTGACCCCTGTTTGAGAAATAAAAGATTCAAATTCTTCAAGTTATCTACCTCCAATCAATATGATATACCTATCTAATGATTCTTGTGATCCTATTGCTGAATTTGATAATCCAATAATAAAAATAATTATTCCAGTAAGGAATTTGTAACTTGAACTTGGTACAGATACCCTAAGAACTAGACATAAACTGACCTTAATTCTATTTTTTTTTTCTCGTCGGCCAAGTTTGTAACGCCAGTCAACATTTTCCTATGCAACTCTTCCTGTTTTCTTCTAGCCTCGGCGAGCTCTTTCACTAACCTATCAACATTCTGCTCGCACTGTTTCTGCTCTTTATTCACTTGATTAATATTTCTAATCAGCGGCCGCAAATCTTTGTATTTGTCTTGGATCTGGAATCTTATGTTAGGAGGGAGGATTGGTTTTAGTACTGTAACTTTATTATATATCGAAAAAAAAGTGATAATAAAATTACAGTACCTTCCGTTAGAGTTTTTCATTTCCAGCTGTTTCAGGGTGGCACGGAGTACACTAGAGCAGGACTGTTTTTCTTTTTTTCTCATGGATTCAAAGTCTTCAGTTTTTGGAATTTCAGGTAATGAATTTTTTACAGTTACAGTTTGAGTGGATTTATCCGATTTATTTTTGGTGAGTAGTTTTTGAGCCTTTTTTTGCTTGAGTAAACTTTGCAATTTTTGATATTCCTCCATTTTCTTGGCAGGTAAAAATTTTAAGGCAGATTTTTCTAAATCAGGCGAATTGGGTTTATTTTGGGAGTTTTTTTTCAAATGGACTTTTATGTTTAGGGGATGTTTTTTGGGCTGGGTTTTTATGTTTAGGAGATTCTTTTTCGGGGGTGGTTTTAAATTTACAGGAAACTTTTTTGGGTGGATTTTCAAGTTTTGTCTTGACTCTACTTTAGCCCTTTGTTCTTTTAGGAATTTTTCTACACTGCTCTCAATAATGCTAAGGGCTTCAGCTTCTTGTAACTTAACAATTTCAATATTTTTTATCCCATTTGGAGTGTTTTCGGTAACTATTGGGGCATTATCTTGAGGATTTTCCTCAACTAATTTATTATTATTTGAGCTGCTAATGATTTTTTTCTGAGAAATTTCCTCTTGGTTTGTGGTTGATAACTGTTCAGAGTTAATCCCATTATGTTTCTGTAATTTATTTGAAAATTTCACCTCAGAATCTTCTGGCTTGATCACTGGATTAGTCTTCTGCACATTTTTTTCTGGACTGCTCAAATCCCAATCTGAATCCTCAGAATCAGAATTTATGCGAATAATCAATGGTTTCACTTGAGGCATTTTTATTTTTTTATTGAAAGCTCTATTTACATTATTGAAATTATTAATTTTGAAATTTTTATTATTTATTATTGGTTCTGGTTGGTAGGAAGTAATTTTTTTTGACATTGAAGCTAGTAATATGGCTCTTAGGACATCCTCATCTTCCTCTATTGAGGGTGCTGGAGGTAAATTACTTTCTGCAGGGTCTTCATCAATAATCTCATTACTATTCATTTGAGCTTGCGGAACTTCTTCCACAGTATTATTTTCTTTATTCATGTCATTTTTTCTCTTTGTTCTTTTGGCATATTTATTACATATTGCAGTTTTGAGAGCTGCCAGTCTCAATTGAATTAGCTCATTATCTATATCCTCAATTTCTGGTGTATCCACTCTATTTTCAGAACCACTGGCAATAATTTCTATTGTGTCATGATTTAAGTCCGAATCAGATTTTGGTTCCTCATTAACTGGGCCATTGACCATGGCATTTAGCCTTGTCCTGAGACTGTTTTTATGGGCATTTTCAATTGAATCAAACTTTATAGCTGCCTTTAATTGTGCTTTCAGTCTTACATCCAACGTAGTGTCTTCTTGGTCACTGCTACTGGTGCTACATTCCCTCCGCCTCCTGCAGGTTCGCTTCCTCTTGCAATGTCCACGATGTTCGTGTCCATGTCGTTTTCTACGAGTCTTCGGGACGCTTTGCCCATGGATAGAAGTGTCCGAGATGCTGCTTAAAGACAAGGCGTGTAAGTGATGATTATTACGAATTGACTTACCATTGGGGAGCAAGTCCAGATCATAGGACTCGTCGGATGAAATGTCTTCGAGGTGGTCGTCCGAGAGGATTTCGCCCTCTTCCGGGCCATCCTCGGTGTAGGTTTGATGCGCGACTTCTTCGGGAGGCATTTTTTTACGTAGTTTTTTCATAGAAAAACGAATTTTACTAGAAATAAATTCACAACACCACAACCAAAGGCAAAAATGGAATAGTGAATGATTTATGATTTTTTTTGACAAAGAGGTGGAATGACATAAATGACGTCATGACTGATAGCGAATTCCATTGGTCAAAAAAGTGTCGCACTAGTGTTGGTACTGATTCAGATCGAGTAAAATTTTGAAACATGCGCTGAGGCGCAAGATCTCCAGGAGCACGTACAGAACTGAGCCGCTTTCCAGTGTGGGAGTGTGACGCCCGGAGCTACTCGGGGCTATGAGCTCCCGAGCTGTACGTACGCGTCAACCTGTCAGCTGTCACATCCGTGGGTGGCTATTTATTTATTTATTTCTTGTTATATCTCAAGATTGAACATTTTAAGTAATATAGTTTTGATTCTCTTTCATTTATGATAAATAAAAAAACAAACTGCACAAACAAACAGTTAATTATTTTTAAAATTTGACATATTTGACACTAAGACAGGCGTCTCACGTCATGATACTGGAACGGTACAAATCTAGTGCGTGGCGCTCCCGAGGTGCTCTAGAGCGCGCCAGAGCGCACCAATGTGCATACTGGAAAGCGGCTCTAGTTACAATATTGCACTCGGGGTAAAAAGTGCCGCACCAGTATCTCAATGGGTTTGAAAACCCTGCCCTAGAAGAACGATCGATGGTTGATAAACATTGAACTCCGTACTGCACCAATTCGACCGAATTAAATCGAAAAACGAAAAACACTATTTAGTAAAGGTACGGTTTGTTAGGATAGTACGCGACGCACAACTGACAACGTAAACGTCGTCATTGGTTCAGGTATGACGTACACCCATCTTCTGACGTGAGAAAACGGGTGTACGTCATACCTATGGTCATACCTGAACCAATGACGACGTTTACGTTGTCAGTTGTGCGACGCGTACTCGCCTAACAAACCGCACTTTAATAGTGCCTTCCTAGTAAAAAAAAACCCTTCTAATCAAACTGTTCGAACAGTTCCAAGTGATGAAACATCCCAGATGACGTCATGCAGTTATCAAGGCAACCTACCTCTCTCAAACAACCTTAAATTGGATTATTTTCCAAAACGGTTTGATCCAATGACATCTTAATACATATACAGTTAATATGTGTTAATATAGCTCTGTTCCGTTCCAACCGACATGAGAACCGTTCCAGAATCAGTAATTTCCAGTTGCCCACCTATTTTTCAAAGAGTTAAACGTCTAACAAGAATGGCTTGAACCAATTTTGTGTGACGTCATGGGTTCATCGCGAGAATATACGATTTCAAACCTGTTTTGAACTAGTTTCAAAAAAGTGAATGCGATTTGAAAACACCTCAAATCTATTCCAGAACAGTTCTTGAGCTCAAGCCTGAATTCCCATGCCACGGGACTGATTGCACATTTCACTCGGGGCAAAAAGTGATTGTTCCAAAACTTAATTATTAGGCAATTTCTCGCGAGGATAACCAAGCATAATCTTTTACTGGATTATGTGATGTGTCATTCGTGTCATACTCCCCTAACTCCCCTACCATCAAATTCTGGAATACTCGAGGATCAAGAACACATTTCTTCTGTGAGAACAGACCGAGAATCCCCTTTTCTACATTTAAAATCGACGGAAAGATTAACTTTTACTAACACAGCCTGAATCGCAATCAATCCATCGAGGTCTGAGGGTGACGTCATCACTATAAACTGTTGATAGTGACGTCACTCGCTGGCTCAGAATTTGATGGAGAGGGAGTTAGGCGAGTATGTTAGGAGACATACCATCCTTGACACCGTACCAATTACTAGCCTTCATCAAGGCCATAGGCCTGGACGAAGTACTATGATTTGAGATACACATCAAATCGGCTTCAGCAGGGGGCACAATAGATCTTTAGGTCGCAGTGCAACAGCACCCCAATATTAATCTAATCTAATCTAATCTAATCTAGGCGAGTATGGCACAATTGACACATCACCATAATCCAAGACCATAACCCACCATGCTCGAATATGTTTGATTATCTTTGCGAAAAATTGCCTATTGATGGAACAAAAATGAAAACCGGTTCAAAGCGGTCCTAGAACAGAGCTCTTACACTGCTCGAACACCTACCTACCTACCTCCCTACAGGACGACGTTCTTTTTAGAGAGTCACAGGCCCAGAACTATTCGTTCGGAGTCATGTTGAGTCATTCCCATACAATATAATATATTTTCTAATTCTAACTAGTTCGGAAAGTACCACTTTGCCGACATCAAGCAATCGAGTAAGGAAAAGGGACTTTCCGCAAGATTTAGGATCACCTGTTTTTTCGAGTATATGAAAGTTAAAAGTTAATATTTGTACCTATACACAGGGGGTGTTCGATATAATTTGAAATACATGAGTCGCTTTCTAGTGACCCACCTTAAACACTCCTGAGCTGCTCTAGAGCGCCCCGGACTGTTCATAGGCGTTCCAGTGCATTAGAGTTTCGCGCAACTGAACTGTTCGTTTTTCTTCTCCCCTGCCCTCTCAAGCCAAGCACCAGTAATTTTATGGATGCATCAAAAATACGACGCTTAAAGTAAGGTGCGTTTCAGTGACACAACAGTTGTTTGGAGCACTAGAGTAAGGTGAAGCTACGGAAGTGTGGAGTACCTCAAAATTCGTCACTGGAATGGGGCATGGGGTTTGTGCAAACCACTGAAGATACAGGGTGGACCAAATGAACAAAAAATGCAATCAAGAGCCTACAATAAACTGTCGTCAAGTTCTTTGAACTCGGAATTCGGAATAACCACCGCATAAGGGCAAAAAAGAAAAAAGTGCGTTTCATAATCCTATCTTGTTTATTATAAAAGATACAATCAAGAAATTTCCAGTATAAGATTCCGTATTTCACCAGTTCGAACAAAGAAATTCTCTACTCCTATAAATATTGTCCGTCGATTTGAATCTGATACTCGGACGGAATGTGAGCTGGGTGGCTCCCTACATTAGAACTCCAATGGTTACCTCTGACGTCACACCTGTTTTTGCCATATGAAACACCCCCTCGCTCCTCATACGAAAAGTGTCAGCTAAAAATCGACGAACAATACTGGTAACAGCGCTTGTAATGAAACTACCAATGAACTGAAAATACTTCAAATCAGACTGTCCGAACAGTTCCAAGTCAGCTAAATTTGAACTAGCAAAAATAAATAATTGATCAAATCTATTTCAGAACGGTTCTAGAGTGTTAGCCTGAATCTCTATGAGATACTCGATTGCACATTCCACTCGGGGCAAAAAGTGATTGTTCGAACAGTTCCAAAACAAAAAATTGATAGAATAAATGATCAAAACCGGTTCAGAGCTGTTTTAGAGCTTCAACTTTACACTGCTCGCACTGCTCGAACACCTACCCTTACTGCCCCAGAGCCGCGTTTTTTTCAAGAGTCAGCTCCAGATCTATTCGTTCGGAGTCATTTAGAGTTATTCCCAGAAGATAGTATAAGCATACTTTCTAAATAGTTCGGAAAGTACCACTTTTCGGCCCGCCAAACATTCAAGTGAAGAAAAGATAATTTCCGCTCGAGTAATCCGGCTCAGACCGGTTCTAGAACTTTAGCTCTTTACACTACTCGAACACCTACGAGGAGAACGATTGTTCCGACTTTGTTATTTATATTATTATTTGCATATCATTGATAAAGACGGAACATTCGTTTTCGGGAACGCTGTTTTCTTGTTTCAAGAATAGAACCTTGCTGATCTCCCCAGCCCCGCTCTGTTCAAATAGTCACAGGCTCCGGAACTATTCGTTCGGAGTGCGAAAAGTGCCACTTTTCCGCACATCAAGTAATAAGTGAGAAAAGAAGACTTTCCGCACGAGTTAGAAACACTGTTTTTTCTACGAGATGAAAGTTAATATTTGTACCAATACAGGGTATCCGGAATAACTTGAAGTAGACACATGGGGATTATGTAAACCATTGAAGATACTGAGTGGACCAAATCGAGAAAAAGTTGCGAAATCAAGTGACTACGAATAATTTGACATCAACTTCTTTGAGCTCGGAGTAGCAACGCATATAGAGGGCAGAACAGAAAAAATTGCGTCAGCTTATTTTTCAAACACAAAACTGATGATCAAAACCGGCTCAGAGCGGTTCTAGAACTAGCTCGAACCCTCCCCAGGGCCTCGTTCTTTTTAAATAGTCACAGGCTCCGGAATTATTCATTCGGACTCCAATCATTCAGAACATTCTCAGAATATAGTATGTTTTCCTACTAGTGCGGAAAGTGCTATTTTTCCACAAGCTAAGCAATCAAGTGAGGAAAAGATACTCTCCGCACGAGTTAGGAACACTTTTTTCTATGGGATGAAAGTTTATATTTGTATATCTATACAGGGTGTCTGGAATAACTTGAAGTAGGTACATAGGGATTATGTACCTAAACCATTGAAGATACAGGGTGAACCAAAAAAGGAAAAATTTGCGCAATCAAGAGCCTACAAATAATCTGTCATCAACTTCATTGGGTCAAAAAAAGTGCGTTTTTGAATTGTTCTAAATGCTTTCGGAAATTGTAAATCGGTTTTTGAATGTTTTGGAGCATTCTAATAAAGTGGTTCTGAAATTTCCAAAATGTTCCGAAGCGTTGCAGCAGAATGCTTCTGGAAATTCTGAACTGAATTTTAGATGTTTTGACTTTCCAAAAGGCTTATTAAAGTTCTAAAGTGTTCTGTAGCATAAATAGTTTCCTGTCTTAGACGTCTTTCTGTGGTCTTCAGACGTTCAGACGAATCAGACGTAGTGCAGACCTAGAGGAGACTTCTTTAAGATTTTGTGTGCTGTATGGGAATCCCCATGTAAAGTCCGACGATTTTATAATCTGATACTCCAAAGGAATGTGAACTGGTGGCTCCCTACATTAAAACGCCAATGGTCACCAGACGTTACACCTGTTTTTGCCATAAAGCTTCACCCCCTCATCACTCCTCATACGGAAAGTGTCAGATTAAAAATATATACCTACTTACCAACTTTAAATATTTTACTTACTTACCTACTTTTTCGCACTAGTACGAAAAAGTATCTAATGTAGAAAAGTACTGTTCCGCACTCATATCAGTACCTGCCAGTATATGCCATAAAATATAATGAGTTTGACAAAGACAAACTAAGGAAGCAACTCGTTTGAAAAGATCACTGGTATCTGAAGATGGCGATATATTATAAAGGTCGAAACGTAGACATAGGGAGAAAGTCACTTTTATTTGGCCTTTACGCTACAAAACCACGCCTACAATACATAAAATGACTTATTCCATTTTTATCAAAGCATAAGTACTAACTGCTGATTCGTGACTCTGATTCCGGCTCCGTTTTATAGTGCGCAGTTGCTTATAGATCATTCACTTACTTCCGTTCCGTTCCGAATTCGCTGGCGTGGCATTGCTTCATTCGCAAATTTTCTATTCTTTTCTAGACAGTATTGCAAGATTATACAAAATATCTCTAATGCCTGAGAGATTTATTACAATACTCTCTGATTGTATTTTAACAAACAATTATAAAACAGCAACAAATATTTATTTAACTATTCAAACTATAAATAATTGCAATACATATAAACATTATAATAGTGAAGCATAATGATTGAAAACAGCTTTAATCCTATTTTCAACTTCCTGTTTATTTTTAATACTACTATTAAACGCCTGAGATAAATCACCACTTTCGACCTCTTCGGCTAAATCCACCACTTCTTCAGCGTCAGACAACTCTATCGGAATTATTAAACCTGCCATTACCACTCCAAACCCACCATATTCTATCCAGTGTCGTTTTATATCCTCGTATGTGATATTGTACGAGAATTCGTTGAGGACTTTTAAAAAGCTGGTCAAGCTTTTATGATAAGTTCCAAGAATCAAGTCGAAATTTTTGAGGATTTTTTCGTCCGCAACCGCATATAAGTAATAAGACAAATCGTAAATTGGGGAACCTAAAGTGGATAGTTGGAAATCCAAAAACATCATATCTTTAGGTTTTTGTTTTGATGCATCATCCTAGAACAAAATAATCAACTTGTATATGTTTTAATATTTCTCTAATAAATACCTACTCTATATGAAAACATCATATTGTTATTCCAACAATCACCATGCAATAAAGCAAAAATCCCATCAGATGGTTTCCTCTCTTTAACCAAAACTTTTTCAATGAAACCTTTATCAAAGTGAGAAAGCTTTTTATAGGTAACGCCATTTTCGGTTTTCAATAAATCCAAATTATCTCTAAATTTCTTTACCAATCCATCGATCATATTAGTTTGTATAAAAAATTTTGATAATAGATCATCCATATTTTCAGTTAACTTTTCAAAAAGCTCCGGTGTCTGTTTCTTCATTGCCATCGAAATAGCATGAAATTTTCCATAGTTTTCAAACACAAACAAAACATGCTCTAAGTTTTGGGGCACTTTTCTATCGTGAAGATCATATTCTAGATACTTTAGATTTTGCAAAATAATCGCTTCTTTTTGGTTTTCATTGAACACACTATAACATTTTGCAAACTTCATGAACGGAGCTTCCGTAGATCTTTCAAGCTGAAATTGTTTCATTTCAGGAAAAACTTTGCTGTACATAAACATTTCGCGATCGAAAACTTCTTTGATCGGCGTCTTTTTGCGAAGCGCGTCGCTTTTTTTGGCCGACTTTATCACTAGGTTGTAAATTTTTTCTTCTTCTCTTCCAATACCCGTAAGGACTTTGACAAAAGTAACTTCGCCCAGGTACCCATCTCCTTTAGAAGTATTTCCGGCAAGTTCTAGCTCGTACTTCGAATATCTTCTTTTACGTAAAAAATCTTCAACCCACACATTTAAATCGTTAGGCTTTGTGTCGCACATCTCGTTAGTTTCATACTATTTTTGTATCATTCGATGTACAATGATTTATAAGGATTTCATAATGGTTTGCAACTCATGACATGCTCCTAAAATATATAATTTTCTATTATTATTTTTTATTGTAAATTAAATACTGCCTAGCAAAAAAAAATAATGACCCCATCATTTGGTACTTATGCTAATTGCTAAGAATTAAATATTTTGCGTCTCAATTTTTAACGATCTAAAGGAAGTTTCTTAATTTTTACATAATTGAAAATATTTGATGTTATGATGTACTGGAACTAATCCAGCCTTCCAGCATCCTATATAGTCATACTCTCCAGATTTATGTCCTCTACTCTCACAATTAGATTTTTATTTTTAGTAATGATTTGTTGAAATATGATTTGTTTCAGAGTTTTGTCATTTATATAAAAATCTCTACTTACTAATTAAATGAACTAGGGTACTTATTATCAGTTATACTTGAACCTATGGATGAAATTCGCCATTTAATTTCTAAACCTTTTTTACATAAAACGAAACTAATTCTTACCTTATCTAGGAGTGATAGTCAATGAACTAAACTACCTATAATTAAACCAGACAACACTATAGTAAAGTGAAACCTTAAGATTAGATGAAAGTTTGCCTACTAGGATTTGCAAAAACCTCTTGTCTATGTCCGTTCAAATTATAAAAGTTGATCTAGGTGATGGGCCTCCAAGGCTTTAATTTATATCTATAACAGTACAGTGTTCTTATTTATGGTTACAAGACCTCGTGAAAATTTCAATTGAATGTTAATGATAGGAAAATATATTGTTGTTAACCTTAATTTTCATTGAAGGGTAACCTTAGATAGTAATGTAAAGTAGATTCACCAAGATACGCACAATATTTTCAAATTACACTGTTTATTTCCTCAATGAGGATTTTTCTGACTTTTAATTTTCACTACTTCCGACATTATATTATGGTAATTTAAGTCGTGGATTATTGGATGAAGCTGAAGAAATTATTGGTTATGGAATAGAAATACAAGAATTTTCTCTAGCAGCTCAAGACCAGAGAATGCTGAAAAACCACCCGAGAAGAAGTTAATGGACAGGAGAACAAAATTATAATCAAGACTGTATATATTTCCAAATATTTTTATTTAATATACTATTTTTATCTTTTCATCAATCCAATTCTGTGCTCATAATTAAGCCCTTATAAAATACAGCGGATTTCTTTTCAGATCTTGTTCTCGCAGGACTATGGAAATCGACCTGATAAATTCCAAACTTTATACTGAAAAATATTAAAGACTTTTATACAGGCACAATTGTATAGTCATTTATCTTACGTGTATCCCTGGTTCCATTCCATATTATCCATGAGACTCCATACAGTGTATCTGGAAACATTGCATTCGTACGTATTTATAGCTATGAGAACAGCCTTAACATATTCCTGAAAAAGACCAAAATCACCAACTTTCCACCACAATTTAGTTGTCAGTTATCACAAAGTTGCTAACAACACTTATAGCGACGTTTAAAAATGACTAAAATTGAGCTGTTTAAGTTTCGTACTTTGTAATGTATTAAAGTCGCGACTCTAATAAAATTAACTTAGAAATATACTTGGACCTCTTGAATTCTTGAATAGTTTATGTTGTTTCAACTGTCACTGAATACAGTAAGTAAGAGTTTTTCTTTTCGTGTCTTAAGATAAAAATTAGTTTTTCACCTGTATAAACTCAATTCTGTGTGTATCATTCAAAGTTCCCGTGGTATCTCCAATGCCATTTTCCGTTATATAAACCAGTGGATTGTCGTACTGGTCCTTTATCCAAGACAGAAGTTTTGTGAATCCCCACGGTAAAATTTCTGGATCTTTCCAGCTCGGATCTTTTTCTAGGATTGTCCCTGAAATAGATATTATGTAGATGTTCAGCACAATTAAACATACCAAAAGAAAAAACAAACTTGCAGATTAAATTTTTACCTAGATTTTTAGATTCTAAGGATTGAGTTTCCATTCACTTAGATACTTCGAAATAATCGTAAAGTGTCAATATGAATTTGCCTTCTGGAAAAACTTTTGATTAGATTCGTCAGCATAGGCGCAACTAGGGGGGTGCTTGGGGGTGCTAAGCACCCCTAAAGCAAAAATTAGCACTCCTATTCGGCATCCCACCATAGCACTACCTTACACTTATATAAAAAATTAGTGCAACCAAATTATTTTATTTTTTTTGCAGTTTTTGTACTTACTTACGCCATCGATGACGTCATAATTTAGAAAAAAGTATTTGTCGTTGATTAATTCATAGAGCACGTTGGCAATTATTACTGTTATGGAACAAAATTTTTCAACCGGGGCCGGTATTACAATATTACCTTAAAATCAAGACTTACCCTAAAGTATAGGGTTTTTATGTTATATTTAGGATGACGTCATCGAACAAGGTCAGACAATGTTGTCAATGTCTGTGTTTATTCTATATCTTAAGGTGACATTGAAATACCGGCTCTTAAAAAATCATTAGAGTCCCAAATATATAAATTAATTAACTGCGTATTATACAGGGTGTTCCTAAATATCATATACAGTAGTGTCGCGATAATCCGGATCAATTAAAACCAGACCAATCCGGATTATCAAATTATTCGGATTACCAAGGCATTTTACAGTCCCCTTTTTCTTAATGTCGCTGATGGTTGAAGCCTCTACTCCATACTTCATACTTAACAGCTAAATATTTGCCACTAACTCTGCGTTTCAGCTCGTCTATAATCGCTGACTTTTCGTTGAGACTTAAAGTTCTGTGTTCGTGTTTAATAGTTGCCATTTTCTTTGAAAAAGCCCACACAGTAAGGAAGGACGCTGCGTATTGAATGAGGCGTGTAGACATGTAAAACTATGTATCCACTTGAACGCAGTTACAAAACGACAAGTGAAAACCTGTGTTTTTATTTTCAACAGTCATTCAAATGAATTCGGATTACTAAATCAAGTAAAATCCGGATTACAGAGTACATCAATGGAATGAAAATGCGATGCGGATTACAGAAGCATACGGATTATCGCGGGATTGGATTATTGCGACACTACTGTACAAACGACAAAAGATTATTCCTTTTTTTTACGACTGAAATCTCAAATATGTTCTAAAAAATTGACTTATTCAAGCAATTAAAAAAAATTCACCCTCTTACATATTAATTTTTTTCTGGAAAACTTGCAGAGAGAAAATTTTGAAATTTTTCCAGGAATAAGAGGAAAATGAAGAGCTCATTTTACGAAAATTCAAAATTTTCCAGTAAAAAATCACTCCAGGAAAAATTCTGAAAAATTGACTTTTTCAAGTAAAATTAAGGAAAATTCACCTCTTACATTTTAATTTTTTTCTGCAAAACTGGCAAAGGGAAAATTTTGAAAATTTTCGAGTAATAAAAGGAAAATGAGGAGCTCATTTTACGAAAATTTCAAAATTTTTCCGTCAAAAATCACTCCAGGAAAAATTTTGAAAAACTAACTTTTAAGCAAAATTAAGGAGAATTCATCCTCTTACATTTTAATTTTTTTCTAGAAATCTGACAAAAGGAAAATTGTGAAATGTTTCCAGAAGAAAAAGAGGAAAGTCAGGAGCTCATTATAGGAAAATTTCAAAATTTTTTAGTGAAAAATCACTCCAAGGAAAGTCGATAGGAAAGTTCTGGAAATTGACTTTTTTAAGCAAAATTCATCCTTTCACATTTCATTTTTTTTCTGGAAAACTGGCAAAGCGAAAATTGTGGAATTTTTCCAGAAGAAGAAGAAAAAAGTGGGGAATTCAATGTAAGAAAATTTCAAAATCTTCTAGTGAAAAATGACTCGAGAAAAAATTCTGGAAATTTGAGTTATTTAAGCAAAATTAAGGAAAATTCACCCTTTTACATTTAAAGTTTTTTTTGGAAAACTGGCAAAGGGAAAATTTTGAATATTTTCCAGGAAAAAGAGGAAAGTGAGGAGCTAATTATAGGGAAATTTCGAAATTTTCCAGTGATAAATCACTCCAGGAAAAATTCAAAGAAAATTGACTTATTTAGACAAAATTAAGGAAAATTGACCTCTTGCATTTTAATTTTTTTGTAGAAAACTGGCAACGGGAAAATTTTTAAACTTTTACAGGAGAAAGAGGAAAGTGAGGAGCTCATTAGGAGAAAATTTCAAAATTTTCCAGTGAAAAATCACTCCAAGAGAAATATATTTATATATTTTCGGATAACTAAATAAACTCTATTTTAAGTTAAAAAATGTAATACAAAACAATAATTCCGAAGGTGCTCCATGACCTGACTTTTTCTCTAAGTTACGACGTCATCGATGACGTAAGTAAAAACCTTCATGCCATTCAACGAACTATATGTTTGTTTGAAATTTCAGACATAAAAAAACCTATTTTTCAAAAAAAAGGCAAATGATGACGTAAGTACAAACCCTCGTGAAACTAACTTTTTTTTACGCGTCACATTTCCTTTCCATCAAACCCCATTAAAAAAAAAAAAAATGGTGCTGCAGCACCCCTCAAATTTGGAACCTAGTTGCGCTTATGTTCGTCACACTGTTACTGGTAAATTGTTAAATAAAATTAATAAAATTAGAAGAGAAGATGCAATTAGCACATATAAAATCCAGATATCAGGAAGAAATATTCAATAAAAGAATCATCAGGACATTATTATCAAAATACGGTGACCCGAAATATTGAATCGCAAAAAGTGAGAACATCTTAGTTCAACATTGGACTATAGTTGATGATGATCATTAACTTCATTATTGACCAGTAGTTATTTACCTTTATCAGCCAAAAACGATATGTCATTTGATGTAAAATTTTTACTGGTAACCAGCCATGTATGATAATGATTGAGACCCAAAAAGTCAGCAGATCCTCTCAATAGTTTAATTTCTTGGGCTGAAAAACTCGGTAGTCTGGATCTCGTGAAATTTTGCCGAACACTGAGTGCATCTATACGTTCGATCATCACGTCTGGATAGTGTCCTTTTCTGGAAAAGATTGGATGCGCGTACCAACCAAACTAAGAAAAAAATAGCTGAAAAGTTACTAACATGTTTATTTGAAAAGCCACTTACAGACATTTGCATTTCTCTATCTGATGCATCTTGATCTTGCTGACTTTTTGATTTCGGTTCTGCCCAAATTGAATCAATTGTTATTCCAACTTTGCCTTGAATCGAAACAAAATAAAACAACGCATTTTGTTAATTAATTTCCAATACCTTGCTGAGTATTTTTAAAGTCCGCCTGATACAATCTATAAGCCTTAGCGTGTGCCAATAAAATATTTTTTCCGCACAAATATGACCCCAGACCTGGAGATTTAATTCCAGGAGCTCCATTTCCATTCTCGTACGTGTCAATGCATATACTGGCAGGCTCGTTTATTGTTATCCAGAGTTTCACCTTTTGGAAAATTTTTAGTTTTTCAATCAGGCAAGATGTTTTTCTTTTACTTACTCTATCGCCAAACAGTGTGAAAGCTACTCTGGCATAATCTTCAAAATAGTCGGTGATTAAGGAATTGGTCCATCCGCCTAAATCTTGTAAGGGCTGAGGTAGATCCCAGTGATAAAGTGTTACCTAAAATAAAACAAAACTTATAACTAAGAAATAAGATAGATGTTGTGGGTGTGTTACCATTGGTTCAATATTTTTGCTTATCAAAAGATTAATTGTCTCATTGTAATAGTCAACTCCAGCTTTATTTATTTTGTTGGAAAACCCTGTTGGAAGAATTCTCGACCATGATAAAGAAAACCTAAAATAATATGTTCCATTGTATTTGAAAATTGTAAAATATTTAAATTACCGGTAAAAGTCTACTCCTAATTCTTCCAACAATTCAACATCTTTCCTCCATAGATGATAGGAATCACATGCGATATCTCCATTGGAATGATCTTTTATTTGATCTTTATGTGTGTGAGTATAACGATCCCAAATATTTTCACCTTTTCCTGAAATAGTAAGTATTTTTTATGTTTCAGACCCAAAGAATTCTACTACATTATACAGGGTGTCCCAGCCGAAAGTGAACCATTTTAAATGGTTATAATTTTTAAACCAGGTGTGCTAGCTACCTGCGGTTTGCGCCATTCGATTTCTCTAGGTCTAAAGTTTTTTCTAGTAGGTTGCACATTTTTTTGAAATTTATACAGGGCAAGTAAAAAAAATCCGTTTTTCAACATTGAAATTCTTCACTATTTTTAATGGAACACCCTGTATATCACAACGTCAAAAAAAAAGAAAGAATGTTCAAGGTATCCATGTACGAATAAACATAGTCCCTAAAACTTGAAGTTTTAGCCGTGAAAAATCAAAATCGAAATCTTGGTATTTTTGCAAACGCATATTTACAAAGCTTGGGACTTGTTTGCCCAATGAAAAGTTAATGAGAACTACATAGAAGTATACAAAATGCTGTATATGTATGTATATGTTAGCCATTCTGTTCCAGGCATTTACGGATCAGTAAATGGGTGAATGACTTGTGTCCTGGGAAATCGCTTCAATGACATTACAGATATTCCGCTTAAGATCTTTCAAGCTACCTGAGCAAAGGATTACAGCATCTTTTCTCCAGAGAAAAAAGTCTGGAACTCTCAAGTCAAGAGAGTAAGGTGTCCATTCTATAGGACCTCCATATCCGTCATTACCCAAATGCCATATTTAGTGATTCCCTTGCTATTAAAGAATAATGAGGTGGGGGAACCATCCTGGTGGAAATCGATATCATCCAAGATACCCTCCTTTCTTAACTGTGGAGAAAAGAACATATCAGTGTATACAATTTCTGTTATCGTTGGTTCATTAATAGATATGGTCTGTATGTTTTCTTAATAGAGATTGCACAACAAACTGTAACTTTTGGGGTATCTCTATTTGACGAGTTCCAGAGAAAATACTCTGGAACTCGTAAAATTTTCTTGGAAATTGTATTTTAACTTAATTGATGTCTAACTAAACAGTTACAAAATTCTTTGTCATAGTGATATCAAGTAGCTACAACATGAAGTGGCATGCGTTTGCAAAAATACCAAGATTTCGATTTTGATATTTTACCTCTAAAACTCCAAGTTTTAGGGACGATGTTTATTGGTACATGAATACCTTGAATATTAATCTTTTTTTTTAACGTTGTGATATACAGGGTGTTCCATTAAAAATAGTGGAGAATTTTGATGTTGAAAAACTGTTTTTTTTTCACTTGCCCTGTATAAGTCTCAAAAAAATTTGCAACCTACTACACCTTTTCCATAAGTATTTTAGAATGTATCACTTGTATTTCAGATTCATTAATTCTAGTTCAGAATGCGTCAATTGTATTTCAGTTGTGTAAGTTCAATTTCAGAAAGTGTTATTTGTATTTCAACTTTGTCAGTTGTAGTTCAGAAAACATCATTTGTGTTTCAGATTCGTCAGGTGTATTTCAGAAAAAGTCATTTGTATTTCAATTTGGTCACTTGTATTTCAGAAATCATCATTTGTGTTTCAGATTATTTATTTGTAGATCAGAAATTGTAAATTGTATTTCAGAATTCGTCAAATGTATTTCAGATATTATCAATGTAGTGTATTAAATAAAATTTATAATGAGTCACCTATACACCTATCTTGTGTTGATTTGGGGAAATCTGCGTAGATACCTACTAATTTCCGAACTACATACATCTGACAATTTCTGAAATACAATTCACCTTTTCTGAACTACAATCAACTATGTAATCTGAAATACAATTGATGCTTTCCGATATAAAATTAACTAATCTGAAATACAATTGACACTTCCTGAAATAAAATAAACTAATCTGAAATACAATTGATTCTTTCCCAGATAAAATTATTTATTCTGAAATACAATAAACAATTGACGCTTTCCGAAATACAATTTACTAATCTGAATTTCAATTGAAGCATTCTGAAATTAAACTGACGATCTCTGAAATACATATGGAAAAGGTGTAGAAGAAACTTTAGACCAAGAGAAATCGAATGGCGCAAACCACAGGTAGCTAGCACACCTGGTTTAAAAGTTATAACCATTTAAAATGGTTCACTTTCGGCTGGGACATAATTCGTGTACTGATCCAGTACTACTATATTTTAGTAGTTAAGTATAGGTATATAGCCTAAAACAGTGGCGCAGCCAGGAGGAAAACTAGAAAAATAATGAAGTAGACGAAAGCTGAAAACTGCTCATATCAGAGAAAAAGTTTAAAGGAAAGTGGATCTGTGTTTTTTCTTATAATATTTTCTGCATGCCCCCCCAGACAAAATTTCTGGCTGCGCCAGTGGCCTAAAAAAAGGTGATCTCGAACTGGAATAAGTGGAATACAAATCATTGTATTAAAGTCACAACAAATTTGTATAATATGTAGATAGTAGGTAATTTACTTTGTGGTTATCTACTTACCATCTTGATTCCATCCTCCTTCGACTTGATAGGCCGCAGTGGCCACACCAAATTTGAATCCCTTGGGAATTTGTAGTCGACAATATACACTGGCAAAAAGGCACAATGTTACAAACACTATTTTCTTCATAATAGATCCAAGTTATTCCGACAAAAGTCAGACTCACTATATTTGATATATGATGGTTTCACGAAAAAATATATTTCAAAATGTCAAATTATTATATTTAAATGCTTATTTATTGCATGTATCTTTATCTTCCAACGAAAAAAGCTAGAATGATATACGATACAAAACATGGATGGCCGCTTATTCATTAAGAAGGGGCAGCTGAGCTGATAAGATTATCAACAATTTAAATATAATAATATGTAGCTGCCTAATTTGAATATTTCTTTGTGTGATGTTCATTTATAAATACCTACATTGTAATGCATTGGCTTGACAATAAAAAAAAATCTAGAAGATTAAATAGGTAATGTTTACTATGCCCTGTGTTAACTAAGGCAGTATTTAGAAAAACACAAAGGAAAAGAGACTTGTGGCATAACAGTACTGAAAAAAATTACCAACAGTACCCAGCATTAATATAGTAAGGTCAAAAGCTGTACAGTCACAGGAAGAAAACAATATGAACAAAATATGTTGAGCCACACCAAAAAGTTCTTTTATACATTAACTCTAACCTTAACTCTAAACCCTCCTACTTCTGTATTGCTAAGAAAGCAACTCTAGTCCCATTTGAATCTAAGAATCTGAGCGTTTTGCACAGCAATTCTAAAGTGTTTTTACTAATCTCAGTCCTACAGATATTAGATCAACACTTTCAGTTGAATTCTACTCCAGAACAGAAATCAACACCATAAATTTCAACACAGAAAAAGTAGAAATTGCCAGGGTTGAACTCCAGCCCTGGACTTGATGAGATCTCTACTAAATATATTTCTCAAAAATTGTTTGCACACTCTAAAGGAAAAGGGCCTCTCATAATATCCAAAAGAGATTCTCCACAACCTTGGGAAAAAACAGTTGTTATACCTACTCTACAGGATAACAAAAAGCTAGTAGAAAACTACAGACCAGTCAGACTAGCGCCCTATGTTAAAGTATGGAAAAAATCATTGCTGAGGAATTCACAAGCTTTTTTCTCGAAGCTCACATTGTACCACCCCAACAACATGGTTTTCTCCCAAAAAAACTACCTTTACGGACCTCCTACCAGACCCAATGTGTGGACAAAGGCGGATAATGAGAATGAGCCAATTGATGTAGTTTTCCTTGACTTTCAAAAAGCATTTGATAGATACAAACAATATACTTATTATACAAGCTATATCATTTTGGAATCAGAGGCTATTTATTGCGACTTCTTGAGGAATTCTTTACTATGGAAGTACCTACCTTTCAGGTTACGACAAAAATATCACTCTGAGTTGAATACACTAATGCCACCAATGCCAGAGGACATAACAACTTGAGAAGGAAAGATGTACCTAATAAGTTATTAAGAAGAAATTTCTTGACAAACAGAGTGCTTTATCAGTGGAATAGGCTTAGACAGAGAAGAGTACTTTGAAGAATTACTGACAGAACAACGGGCAGAGTTTAAAAGAAAAAGAACAGACACAAAACATAAAAACTGCAGGATTACCAATAAGAGTTATGAAAGAAGAAGTTAAAAAACACTATATAGTTTCTTGAAAGATGTTTACACATCAATAATAATAATAATATATACTACATATTAGCATTGTATTGTATATTAGGTAGTATTGGGTAGGTAAATAAAATATTGAATAGCTATTGCAATATTTATTAAAATTTGAACAATTCAACTTATTCATTAAAACAAGCCAATAGGTACACAATAGAAAAAAATCAATTCCAAAACAAAAACCTCAATCGCTGTTGATATACCAAAAATAAAAACAATCCATGGAAGCCTCTCCCCATAAGTTTCCATACCAAACGGTTTAACTTCTTCCGACAACTTCTCTCTATTCGTTGAAGACATTTCACTAAAATTAGCTACCAATCCGCTCTCGATAATCCATGAAAGAGTTTTGTCAAATTTGTTATGAAACGGTGATCTATAGCCCATAACGTAAGTAACTAAAGTTGGCATTATTGCTTCTGGAACCATGTTGTAACAAAACGGCTGTCCTCTTATCCTGCTAAGTGTTTTATAATACTCGGCAGTACTTTTGGTACAAATAATCGAATGGCCAGTACAGTTCATCAACATATCTCTTTCAGCGTCCATTATTTTAGTTTCGTTCGAATAAACGTGCATTCTATGTAAAATACTCGGACCTAATATCTCTCTTTTCAAGACATCATTTAGAATACCATTAATTGTTTTTCCAGAATAAATCCTATGATTGGTTTCAGCAAACTCTTGCACAGTTTTCACGGAAATTTCTGTCGGTTGCAACGTTAAAGCTGACAAAATTTGTATGTTGAACAAAGTGTATCCGTAAAAAGCCAAAATCATCATGCTCATGTAAATTATACGGAAGTATTTCGTGTCAATTGCCGCTATTGATTTACCACTGCACACCAGTACGAATATTAGCAGGATTTCGATTATAGATTTTGTATTTTTGAATAATTTAAAATAAATGTAAAGCAGTATTATTGTGGCTACAGATATCCCGTACGAGTAATAGGTGAAATAAAATAAGCGGGATGTTTTTAGTTCTATTGGCATTAGAATCACTAAATCGTCTCTTCTGTAAGGATATGTTATTTCAACCTAAAAGAAATACAATACTTAATTTGAGGGTTTGTATGGTGATGTAATTGGAACGGGTAAATCAGTTCCTACCTTATTTTTAACCATTACATCTTTCCACAAAAATCTCGAATTCAAAGCAATTTGAGCTTCTCCCTTTAAAACGGCTTCAAATGCACCAAAATATTCCTCGTCATCCATTTTAGAAGCATATATATCCGATGGAGTAGCATAAACATAAGGAAATCTTGTACAACCTACTAAATTTTTTATAATAAAAGCATCCTGTCCGTAATAATCATTTTCGTGCCTTTGAGCATGTATAGTTTCAAAAACTGCAATAGTAAAATAATCCTTTTCAAATATAAGTTTATCAATAGCATTTGAAAATAGTGTTTCACATGTTAATTCAGTTTTGGTGGACAATTTTATATTTGATCGGTTGGACGGTAAATAAGCAGCAGGTTCGGCCTTTCCCGTTTGGCTAACCAGCAAAAACGAAACTATAGGCAGAAGATTGTATTTTGTAAGTCCTTCAGGTGAAGTTTTGAAATTGAAAAAGTTCAATATATAAATGAAATCGACTCGTTTCCCTTTGTCATAATTTGAGAATAGTATTTTGTCGCCGGAACGAAAACTTTGAGCTCCGTCTTCCATGAGATTAAGATGAAAATAGCTTTTGGAGAGAATGAATATTTTTGATTCTTTACCAATAGTACTGATGTTTATTAGTTTTTTAAACCACATTGATTTTGTTTGAAGAAAATCACTATTATCGTAGTTGTACATAGGAACTTTGATGCTATAAATTGCTTTTAGCATTTTATCAAAGGGTTGGTTTTTATCTTTTTCGTGCACTATCACCCACGACCAGACAGGTTGAGATTTGTGAAAAGTTAACAAACATTGATGATAATCGTGTAAGCTGATGTTAAATGGCGATGGAATCTTGAACATCTTATGACTGGTTACTAATTTAAGCCACAACAGTTGTATGAAGATTTTCTTATACATTATTTTCCTGAAATTTGATGTTTTTTTTTTTTAAATTAGGCTATACAATCATATAAGGCTTACCTTGTTTCTTTAATTTAAAAAACTGGTATTTGGCTATTATAAATAGTTTCTATTGGAATAAAATCTATTGCGTGTAAATAATTATTTGACCAAAGTATGTTATACAAATGGATATAGCTAGATATGTTTATAGTACAGGCACGCGAAATAAGTATAACTTTTTCTTTTTAGTAATTGTTATTTGCCTATTATGAACAAAATTATTTTCACTGTGAAGGAAATCATCTTTCTTCAAAATTTCTATATATTCAATACATATCTTATTGAACCAATACCAAGCGAGTTTCCCTCTACCTGAACCCCACCCACGCCCCCAGGTCACGCTCCTGCTCCTGTTGTGTCGTCCCAGAACGAAACGTATAGGCGTTGTGACAATAATATGAACAAAAATATTATCACTGTGAAGGAAATCATCTTTCTTCAAAATTCTCCTGCCTACTCTTTACATTATGCATTAAGTATTTTACTTTCTACGCTTATACCTTTTCAACCAGCTATAATTGTCTATAGTCTATAGATAATTTCATTCAATGAACCTCGATTCTTAATTCGTTAGAATATACTATATATCAAGGATAAATTTCATTATCAAGAATTCTAGTCGTCAGAATGGTCATATATTTTTGTTTGGAACTGTCATAGAAATGCAAATTCATAATTGTGTCAAAAAAAATGAGATTTTTCTGAACAAAAAATATGTAGTTTCACATTTTTAAACCTTGAAATTAATTATTCAGCCTTAACCAAAAGCGAAAGTATGTACCATAAAACTTATGGTAGATGGTAGTACCACAGAACCCCTATGAAATTTTTAAACTGGTCATATGAAAGAAAATGTATTTTTTTGTTACTTATTTTAGATAATATATTATATACATATTAGATCAACTAATAACTAATATAAGTATGAAACACATAGTTTGCTGTCTAGGACAAAAAAATATACTTAAATATTTATATTCCAAAATCATTAGAAAGAGGTTTATAAAGTATAATTCTTTAAAGTAAGTAGGTATATTTTATACAACATTTCAGTTCTAGATTAAATTTTGAAAATATTTTTGGCAGTTTCCAGTAATTGAGTTAACTAACTTGGCTTCAATATATTACTGCAAGACTTAGCTTTGGACCTTAAACAAAATTGGAATAAATTAGTATTGGAAACATTGGTAACTTCTAGCTATGTAAATTTTTATATTTTCTACCTGGTTGTTTCGCAAAACAACATAATTAATCAACAACAATCAACAAAATCAAACATAATTACTTACGAGTTTTTGCTTCGTTTCCTTCTGCATATGTGCAACGTAATGGGTCCGCTCTTCACGCTCTTGAAAAGTAAAACTGCATCTGCATGCGATATGTCATGGCAAACTTGCCCGTTCACTGCTAATATCTCGTCTCCTGTAACACAAATTAATAACCTTAACCATTTTGTTTAAACTGTATTTAAATAATATTGTATAAAAATGTTTATAGTGAAAGAATTCTTTTAGGAATAGTTTTAAGATGATTCCAAGCTATACCATTTGGTTGATTAAACTTGTTTCAGGTACCTATTTCTAACCGTCTGTTGTAGAACGATTTTGACCCATTGCTATGGTGGTATAAAAAGTAAGTTGGTGAAAATTGTGATAAAACCTAATCTTCACTTTTATTATAGGAATAGAATAGGCTAGGATAGGCTAGGCTGGACTAGGCTAGGCTAGGCTAGGCTAGGCTAGGCTGGGCTGGGTTAGGCTAGGCTAGACTAGTTTGGGCTAGACTAGAATAGGATAGGATGGGATAGGAATCTAAAATATTGAGAGCATCCTATTTTAGTGGAGGACTAGAAATCTTGAAAATATCAGCTGTTGTATATATAGTTAAAAAAAAAATTGTTAAGCAATTTGGGGTGAATTATCAATTTTTCAATTTTTCTGAGTGCCTTTTTTCATAGAATCTGGCTCCAAATCTCAGAATAATTTAGTGTATGAAGTTCGGGGGATCCCAAAGGACCATTAGGACACAAAATCTCAACAAAAAAAGAATTTCATCATTTTAGTAAGAAGGTAGCAACCTTATGATTTAGATTTTGGAAAACTTTGACAGGTCATAACTTTTTTTCTATTTAAGATAGAAAGCTGAAATTTTCAGCGATTCTTATCCCAGTAGAGGACTACAAGATTTTGGAAAACTTTGACAGGTCATAATTTTGTTTCTATTAAAGATGGAAAGCTGAAATTTTCAGCGATTCTTATCCCAGTAGAGGACTGCAGTCCCTAAAAATTTCAGCTCCTTTGGACTTATAGTTCCTGAGATAAAATCGTGTTAAGCAATTTGGGGTGATTTATCAATTTTTCAATTTTTCTGAGTGCCTTGTTTCATAGAATTTGGCTCCAAATCTCAGAATAATTTAGTGTATGGAGTTCGGGAGATCCCAAAGAACCATTAGGACACAAAATCTCAACAAAAAAAAAATTTAAATTTCATCGTTTTATAGTAAGAAGGTAGCAACCTTATGATTTAGATTTTGGAAAACGTTGAAAGGTCATAACTTTTTTTCTATTAAAGATGGAAACCTGAAATTTTCAGCGATTCTTATCCCAGTAGAGGACTACAGTCCCTGAAAATTTCTGCTCATTTGGACTTGGAGTTCCTGAGATAAAATCGTGTTAAGCAGTTTGGGGTGAATTTATCAATTTTTCAATTTTTCTGAGTGCCTTTTCTCATAGAATCTGGCTCCAAATCTCAGAATAATTTAGTGCATGGAATTAGGGGGCTCCCAAAGGACCATTAGGACCTAAAATCTTGACAAAAAAAATTTGAAATTTCATCGTTTTAGTAAGAAGGTAGCACCTTATGATTCAGATTTTGGAAAACTTTGAAAGGAATATTGATAGTTATTTTCTTGTTTTATTTTTGTGCGGAAGCTCTCTTAGTTCAATTACTAGCATGATCAACACGAACACACTGAATCTTGGAAAATTGGATAATATACTTCCATCTTTAGGTATACATTTATTCAAAAATATTCTTTAATCGCTATAAAACCACTAACTCGATGATATTCGCAGGCATAATTTGATATATCTTGGTCATTTAATGCTGGTTAACTGTTCTTTATATCGAGCGGTTGCGGTTTTGATCTGGTCTTTGAGAATCAATGTGTAAAATCTACTTACTTTCGGTTTTTTATTTCTTTTTGTTGAGTGAGCAATTATAAGATACGATGATAAATTACTTTAACCCAATAATTTTCATAGGAAACCTCATTATGCAGATGTTTTCTTGTGCCCAATTTAGAAGTATTATATCTTTTCATTGCAGTTTTTTTAATTATACATACGGAAATTGAAATTATGGTTTATATACACATGGGTGGTTCAATAAATATTTACTTTACAAACCATTTAGGTATTTCAATACTGTTAAGATAATACACCATATTGAATGCTAACAATAATTAGCAAATATTTACTAAGTTTAAGCGCACACCTTAAAGCTATTTTATGTTATATGACTTGAAAATCTATTATTATATGGAATTGCCATTCAAATTCCTTAGCGGGAAAAGCTAATTATAGTCACCATTTAAAAGATAATCAATTTTAATGGAAGGAATAGGTGTAGGTGGGTACTTTAACTCAACTGTGACGAAATATTAATAATCATTTAGCTGACTTTGTGATGTTTAATATACACTTGACTGTATTATGCTTATTGAGATATATCAATGAATCTCACCTTCTTTTAATCTGCCATCTTCTGCAGCCTGTCCATTGAGCATAATAGTTTTGATGAATATTCCCAAGGCACCTTTTGGCGAATCCCTTCCTCCAACAATTGTAAATCCAAGGGATTTTTTACCTGCGCCCTTTTCCAATGTAACAGTATGAAAAGTGCAAACGCTGGAAGCCGGCCTCCTTGGTAAAGTACAAAAATTCGAAGCCGCATTCGAATCTTCTACATATGATGGTTCAGTGGACTGAGGACTCGGCGGAGGAGAAGCGTTGCTCTCATTTCTAGATGATGAAGAACTTTTTCTCAACATCCTGGTGTAGCTTCCATGGATGGAATTCTTCTGGAATTGTCTTTTCGTTACGGGGGTTGAAGATCCAGCAACCGAGTGCCTGTTGAATTCAAAATCGACCGAGGTTTCTTTCATGCATCGCACTATGACCATTTCAATATTCAGTTCTTTGGTGTTTAAGATTTGCTTAGCTTCAGTGATTGTTAATCCTGACAAGGATACGCCATTGATGCTTAATATTTCGTCTCCTTCTTGTAATAGATTTTCTCTGAAAAGTAGATAATGTTTTATAAAAGATAAAGTACCTATTGTGCAATGTTAATGTGGTGAAGATTGATAACTTGGTTAGGTAGATATACCTTTATAGGTCCCTACCTAATATATGGAAAACTTTGGAAGGTCCTGAGATGAAATCGTGTTGGGGTGATTTATCAATTTTTGGGGATGTTAATTGACCATTAGGACACAAAATCTCAACAAAAAAAATAATTTAATTTCATCGTTTTAGTAAGAAGGTACCTTATGATTTAGATTATGGAAAACTTTGGAAGGTCATAACTTTTTTACTATTATAGATAGAAAGCTGAAATTTTCACTGAATCTCATCTCACTAAAGGGACTATAATCCCTGAAAATTTCAGCTCATTTGCACTTATAGTTCCTGAGATAAAATCGTGTTAAGCAATTTGGGGTGATTTATCAATTTTTCAATTTTTCTGAGAGCCTTTTTTCATAGATTTCGACTTTAAATCTGAGAATAATTTAGTGTATGGAGTTTGGGGGATGTTAATTGACCATTAGGATACAAAATCTCAACAAAAAAAAATTTGAAATTTCATCGTTTTAGTAAGAAGGTACCTACTATTTGGGTACATTTCATTGTCACATTCATTTTTAATAACAAAATTAATTACTAGATGTTCTATAGTAGCCCAAGAGTTTTAGGTATCCGGAAAAAAGAATGCGTAATCTCAAAAAGTAGATAATAAATATAGAATTAAAATTTAATCATCGTTAAATAATTTAATGAATAAAATAAGTTGTGTAAAGTATAGGCATGAGTCTTCTTCTTGAGATTGTGTAATTAATATAAGTCGTCCATATTCCGGAATAAGATTAATATATCGACAGACTACCGTTACTTGTGTAAGAAGAATAAGAAAAAAATAATGATTACCTATACTTCGAAGAAATCTCTATTTCTCTCATTTAATTCATTATTATTCGTTAATAATTAGTGTTGCGTGAGTAGGTATATTTTGCTTACATAAACACATCCTTCTTTCTTGCAGAAAACCACGTTGATTATTGAAATGATGACACCACACAATTATTGCGATGCACAAAGATTTGATTATTTTGAAATAATTTGAAGACCTTGATTTTATCAACGTGTCGACTTCACCAACGGATATTTAGTTTTTTAATAATTTCCGTGATTGAGCTACACAAACACACAACAGCAAATGTGCCTGGAGCTGTGACGATTTTACTTTGGGACTGTTATCAAGAAGGATGTTTTGGAAATATGATCCTTAATATTTACTGCATAGTAATCATAATTATACGAAATTGCACATTACTGGTAACATTGAGTTTTTTCATGTAAGAATTGCATGACGAAATCCATCAATTAATTTGTATCTATTAAAATGGCAAGATGAAATAGTGGAAAGATAATAATGCACCTCTTGATACCACAGGTAAGAAGGGCGAATTATGAAAAATTACACAAATACAGCTATAGAGGTCAATCTGTGAAAGAACACAGAAGAATAAAGAATATAGGAATTGGAACCCAAACTAACCAGATTTGTGAACATATTATATAACTACGAAATTGCGATGTATTTTTTTTGCTTAACTGTTGTTATTGAGTAAAATATTTAAGTGCAAAATGTTCTAAATGTATAAATATAGGTACCTATATCCACTTAACTGTAAAAAAAATATATAACCAGTACTCAGTAGGTATAGGTAACAAAAAATCGATTTCCTCTAATCTTGAAAAACCAGTCGTTCGAATTGATACAGATACAAAATTAATTATATGTAATTCCAGATATAATGAGCAGATATAGGTACAGCTAAAGCATAAATCAAAAATTTCAAGCCCCATCGAATGAAAAATAATATCTAACCTTGAAGCTAAACTGTCGGGTAGAATTTTGCCAACCAGGTAGCCTTGGTTGATCTGCTTGCTTCTTGTTATAAATATGCCTAATTCTTCCGGGTATTTTCTACAAAATTTAATGATCGTAACATTTTTGCTGTAGTTCGGAGAAAAGATGTTCTCAGTTCCTTGCTGGTACCATCGTTTCAAGTCATCATTAGCGATACTTTTGTTATTATTTGAGCTTTCGAAATTTGAATCGTTCACTAGAATTCCACTATCCGAATCTTCGTTGTCTCCTAAAAGCAAATGATCTTCTTCGTTCGAGTAGATTAAACTATTCGTTTGCCTAAACGTTTCCAAGTCTGGAAGAGCTCCATAGGAAAAACTGCGCTTTTTGACTATTTTTTTCTTAGACTTTTGAGCCTCATTATCAGAATGTTTGTAGAGTTTAGTCAAAAGTCTGCTTTTAGAGTTTTGCAAATATCTTTCAGACATTGCACGTAATTTAGCTGTAAAACACGACCTAGAAGCACTATCACATTGAGCATTATCAGTATCACTCTTTTTATCTTCTACACTAGCGTTAATATCTTTGGAACATGACGGATCACTATTTGAAGATACATTTTCGTCGATTTTTGCACTTGCTGCATTAGCATTAAGACGAAAACACGACAATCGGGTAGTTTTAACACGATCGAGCATTGGGTTTTTTCTTTCAGGTATACAACTGGCGACTGCACTGTTACTAGTAAATCTAGGCTGACTTTTGTGACGTCGTTTTTCAGACTTCTCAAAAATCACAATGTTGTCTTCGACACTGTAGAAATTCGTGTCGTTTTTGCTGTAGTGCCTTTTTGCCCATGACGATCGAGTCATTTCTGAAAAAAAAAAATGATAGGTATATTAGCGTGATTTTGACTATAAAAATAGTTATCAATTATGTAAAAATGTTTTCACTTTATACAGCCAGTTATAGCTAGAGTTAATTTGAGCTCATCTTGAACAGAAAGCTGTATCTCAGAGCTAGTTGGTTTGGGGGATGAGAAAATGAGAATCAAAAGAAGAAAATTACCTAGAGATACTCTTAGATATCAGACTCCAAGAATTGAAATGAGATAGATGATGGCAGAGTTGAAATGGCAATGGGAAAAACCAGCAGGAAAATACACCCTAAAGTGGAGACCAAGCAGAAGCAACAGTAGTTGATGATATTGGATTGTAGATAGTAAATAAATGTCTTGAATTAATCCAGTACTTGTATCAAAACTGGAAATTTTATCTTAGTTTGTTTAGCGTAATTTTAAGTAAGTTTTCACAGTTTTTATGCTTTTGGCTCTGTGAAGTAAGCATTAGGGTTAAATTTTACGTAATTATTTAGCGTGTCGTTAGTGCTTCAATGTGCTTCAATACCCAAATTAGCAACCCTTGTATTTTCAGAAATATTTCCGATTTCTTAAATCGCCTGCTTACTTCTTACTCAGCAGGAATAAAGGAAGCACCAACGCTCAGTACCAGATGAATGGTTAGTACTTCGTTAGTGCTTCAATGTGCTCCAATCTCCAAATTAGCAACCCTTGTATTTTCAGAGATATTTCGGATTTTTGAAATCGCCTGCTTACTCGACACCCGCAGCAGGAATGAGGAAAGCGCCAACGTTTAGTTACAGATAAATGGTCAGTGATTAGTTAGTGCTTCTTCAATGTGCTTCAATCCCCAAATTAGCAACTTTTGAATTTCCTGAGATATTCCGGTTTTAAGAAATTACTCACTTAGTTCACACATAGCAGGAACATTGGACACATGTCCCTTCGATAGACTAGTTCAATGCTTCTCAAGTGCTATCTGTGATTCGAGTGATGGCGTTCAACAATTCATTACTGCTCAAAGTCAGCCACCTTTCTTTTCCTTCCTTGAAGAATTTTTGAAATATGGAGCAATCTCTAGAATTAATCAGTTGAGAGCCTGCTCTCTGGGCCTATGATGCGATCCATTAGCTCCTGGAATGTAGCAGGCGCGGAATGTAACCCAAAAGGCATTAGTCGAAACTGGTACAGACCCATTCCTGGTACGGTGGAAGCGGTAATAGGCTTACATTTGCCGGCAAGCGGAATCTGCCAGTATCCTTGTTTAAGGTCGATACTAGAAATATATCGGGCCCTTCTTAGTTTGTCTAGTATGGAATTAATAAACGGGAGGTGGTAGGCATCCTTTCGACTAACGGCATTTACCTTTTGGAAGTCAATGCAGAAACGGCGTTTCCCATCCTTCTTTTTCACAATGACTACGGGTGAACTCCAGGGACTGTCAAGTGTCAGACGGTTCGATGATTCCATCCTCCAACATCTTCCGTAGGTACCTTGGTGTTGATTATTTCTTGCATTTTAGGGTTCTGAGGGCGGTATCTCTGTTTAATTGGGTCGGGATTGAGCAAATTAATAGAACGCTCCACTGCTCTACAGAACAACGATCTTCAAGAAAACTTCTTTATGAAACAGCTCTACTATACCTAATTGTATTCAGAATATCTGCAACGTGACTGACTGCAGATAGTTACACATTTATTCTAAAAAATGAACGCCTTTCTCCTGAATGTCACTATTTCAAAAAGCAGAAAGTGACGTCATTTATCTTGAAATTTGAACCGATCCAGAAGATAGGTACACGAAAAATGATTCCAAAATTTGGAAGTGTTGGTAAATTATCAAATTGAGAAGATGAAAAAGAGAGTGAAGACGTGCTAGTACTGATCTATAACATTTGGGAAAAAATGAATATAACGGATGATCAAAAGAAAAAACTAAGGCCGGGTTTATTGACATACTGATAAACCATCAGGTATATTATCTGATGGATAAAAAACGCAACTTAGTATCGTATTGGCAGTCCTGTAGCCAGGTTTTGATAACAGAGGGGGCAACTTAACATTCAGGAGGGGCAGACTTATTTCCATTTTCAGAATTATTAAAAATCACAAGGTAAAAAAACTTTATTTTCAGAAGTTAATAATAACTGATTACAAAATATAAAATCCTAACAAGACGCAAAGAAATGATAAAAATACATAAAAGCGAACTTATAGCGAACAATTTAGTTCTGTATTGGATTATCTCGAATTCGTCTGTAAAGAACTTTAATCATTTTTGTCTCAAATATTTGTCTATTCCAGGCTCTTGGGCCCCCTGCCTGTTTTCTTTAGTTTTTCAATTCAAGAACCGGGAATAGGAAAATTATTGAATTTGTCGCGACTTTTTTGTCTATTCCAGGCTCTCAAGCTGAAAAGTTCAAGAATTCATAAGCTGTACTCTAACCCTGATGGTTCAAAGAAAGCGCTACAAATGGCCATGGCCTACTAGATTTTTTTAAACTGTCGAAGTTGAGGTGCTCTTATTTGGCAGCCCGAGACTTATTTGAAAAGTGTGGAGTGAATTTACTCTAAATGACTCTATTTTTGTTGCACTTGGAAATCACCACATAAGAGAGGGTGCAACCTAACGAAACCGCTATAATTGACTGACTACTTAAAATGTCAAAGTTAAGGTGTTTTCTTTTCGATGTAGAGCTCAATAATTTTCGTCTCAATTATTTTTCTATTCCAGGCTCTTGAGCTCCTCCCTGTTTTCTTTAGTTTTTCAATTCAAGAGCCGGGAATAAGAAAACTATTAATTTTGTCTCGACTTTTGTCTATTCCAGGCTCTCAAGCTGAAAAATTCAAGAATTCATAGGCTGTCCCTGTCCCTGATGGTTCAAAGAAAGCGTTAAAAATGGCCTACTAGAATTGTTTGAACTGTCAAAGTTGAGGTGCTTTCATGTTGCTGCCCCAGACTTATTTGAAAAGTGTGGAGTGAATTTATTCTAAATTACTCTATTTTTGTTGGCGTTGCACTTGGACATCACCACATAGGAGAGGGTGTAACCTAACGAAACCGCTATAATTGACTGACTACTTAAAATGTCAAAGTTAATGTGCTTTCTATTCGTTGTGGAGCTCAATAATTTTTATCTCAATTATTTTTCTATTCCAGGCTCTTGAGCTCCTCCCTGTTTTCTTTAGTTTTTCAATTCAAGAGCCGGGAATAAGAAAACTATTAATTTTGTCTCGACTTTTGTCTATTCCAGGCTCTCAAGCTGAAAAATTCAAGAATTCATAGGCTGTCCCTGTCCCTGATGGTTCAAAGAAAGCGTTGAAAATGGTCTATTAGAATCAATGAACTATAACCAAAAACTGGAATGCTAACAAATAAGGACGAACGTGAAGCCTAGTGCGGCTGCTGCGGAGGGGATACCTGTTTTTGTCGCACTCATTATGTTAAATGGCGAAAATTGGCTTCCAACACGTATTCCAATTGATGAAACCTGTGAAGGAAAATATGACAAAACATTCGAAAACGTCATATGTCAGCGAGCAACAGAAAAAGACAACATTCCCCGTTGTGGCATCTGTCTTTCATGGCTTCATTTTTTTGGCAGATATGGCACTGTGTGCGCATTCCAGTTTTTAGTTCTAGTTCATTGATTAGAATTGTTTGAACTGTCAAAGTTGAGGTGCTTTCATGTTGCTGCGCCAGACTTATTTGAAAACTGTGGAGTTAATTTACTCTGAATGACTCTATTTTTGTTGCACTTGGACATCACCACATATGAGAGGGTGCAACCTAACGGAACCGCTATAATTGACTGACTACTAAAAATGTCAAAGTTAAGGTGTTTTCATTTCGATGTGGAGCTCAGTCATTTTTGTCTCAATTATTTGTCTATTCCAGACTTTTGATCTCTTCCCTGTTTCCTTTAGTTTTTCAATTCAAGAGCCGGGAATAAGAAAACTATTAATTTTGTCTCGACTTTTGTCTATTCCAGGCTCTCAAGCTGAAAAATTCAAGAATTCATAGGCTGTCCATGTCCCTGATGGTTCAAAGAAAGCGTTAAAAATGGTCTATTAGAATTGACCTTTTGTTTGGACGCCATATTGCGGTGCGCGAACATAGTTGCCAAAAGTAGAAAAAAAAATAACTAACGTACTGTCAACATTAAAAACAAAAATTACTGAATAAATTAGATTTAAAATTTGAATTTGCCACCTATTACGAATGTTTTTGAAAAGAAAAGCCATCAATTTTAGCTTCTATTGGGCAGAATAGAAATAATAGAATATCTACCTGCATCAATCAGAGAGAGAGAGAGTAAACAAACAAAAAGGATAGCGAGGATCAATCATTTAGTTACTTTTGTTTTTAATGTTGTAGTGCTAGTAATTTTTGTTTTCTTTTTTTGGCAACTATGTTCGCGCACCGCAATATGGCATCCAAACAAAAGGTCAATTATTTGAACTGTCAAAGTTGAGGTGCTTTCATGTTGCTGCGCCAGACTTATTTGAAAAGTGTGGAGTTAATTTACTCTGAATGACTCTATTTTTGTTGCACTTGGACATCACCACATATGAGAGGGTGCAACCTAACGAAACCGCTATAATTGACTGACTACTAAAAATGTCAAAGTTAAGGTGTTTTCATTTCGATGTGGAGCTCAGTCATTTTTGTCTCAATTATTTGTCTATTCCAGGCTTTTGATCTCTTCCCTGTTTTCTTTAGTTTTTCAATTCAACGGCCGGGAATAAGAAAATAACTATTAATTTTGTCTCGACTTTTGTCTATTCCAGGCTATCAAGCTGAAAAATTCAAGAATTCATAAGCTGTCTCTGTCACTGACAATTCAAAGAAAGCGCTGCAAATAGCCTACTAACTGTTAAGTTGAGGTGCTTTCGGTTTGCTGCTCGAGAATTATTTGAAAAGTGTGGAGTAAATTTACTCTGATGTGAGTTCTTTTTGCTTTGCAGACGAATTTTAAAAAATCAACCAATCAAAGCACAAGACTGACAAATTTCAAATGTCATAAAATTGTTTCTCTAGTCTAGAATGGGCAACTTTTTCTTTCAGAGCGGGCATTGCCCACTCTGACACCCTCCTAGCTACGGGCCTGCGTATTGGTCGGCCAGTTATACCTACGTAGGATAGTCGATTGGCAAATTTCTCTTGTAGGTAGTTACCAGTGCGTTTATCGGAAGATGAGTGAACCGGCCTAAGCATTAGGAAGCAATTAGTACCTACTAATAATATTTATAAGTAATTCAGATTAGAGTTTATGCTATTCCTATTCCCTATTCTCGGCCCTGGTTGGGTGAAATCCGCAGGCTATTGACTGCTGAAAAACGGAATATCTCTAAAAATATAGGGGTTGCTTATTTAGGCATTGAAGCACTAACCATCCATCTGTAATTGAACGTTGGTGCTTTTCTTGTTCCGGCTGGTTGTGAAGTGAGCAGATAATTTCTAAAAACTGAAATATCCCTGAAATTATAAGGGTTGCTAATTTGCGGATCGAAGTACATTGAAGCACTAACTCTATCTATCTAGAACTAAACGTTGGTGCTTCCCCATGTTCCTGCTATGTGTGAACTAAGCAGGCGATTTTAAAAAACCGAAAATTCAAGAGTTGCTAATTTGGGGATTGAAGCACTAACGAAGCGCTAAACGATTACGTAAAATTTAACTTTTGTGCTTCAAGTGTGAAATGCTAATCAATTTGCATTTATCTTTTAATATAGGTATTAACCTATCGCAAACAAAAACCTTGAAATTTCTTACCTATTCTCGATCTGTGTCTGGTTTGTTGCCTAGGCGTTTTAAGAATGTCCAAATCGACTGTTTCATCATCGGGCTTTTCGGTCCTAGGGCTGTAAATGTAGACATCTTGACAATCCGATGTTCGGAGCGGCGACAGGCTTAACAATCTTGGAGACTCGTCTTGTTTGCGAAACCACCTCATTCCTGAAAAGAAATAGATGATATATAAATGAAATAGATCTTATTATTATTTTTACAGAAGTTCAAGTTCTTGAGGCAACTAAGTACCAAAGTTTACATCGTATTTACCAACATTGCCTCACTCATTTTGCATTTACAATAGAATTGTGAAATTTCAAGAACAAGTCTCAACGAAATTTAAGGTGACAACTAGGTATATTTTTTATACCAAAGGTATTTAGATTAAGATCTTTTATCAAAAATTCGAAAAATTTCAAGAAAAAAAGATCGCTTTAATTAGCTCACTGTATACGAACGCGCAATTTCTTTATCTACCTCGCATTCCAGCGGTTTTTGGCATATTTATTATGTTTTAAAAATTCCTAATATATCAACGAGCCGAGAATTACTACAAACTATTCGTAGAATGTTAATATGTGCGTAAGTGCTAAGCCATTTAAATTGGCTTAATACCAAGATATTTCAAATAACTATTCAAATTTGTTACACCATTATAGGTATACCTATGGGTAGAGGATTCTTCTTGTGGGAAGATTTTGGAATCGAATTTGCCATTGGCTAATAACAAGAATTTCAACAAAAACTAATTAACTTTGTTCAGAAAAAGAAACTAAATAAAGTATTGTGTTTCTTGAAAAATATGTTCAGAATATTAGCCATAAAAGGCGACGCTTGTAAAATAATTACCGAAGAGAAAACTGTGTTAGTTTGTCAATAATTTTGCTAAAGATGTCAATCTGGGTTAATAGTAGTTGCATGACGAATATGTCTGATCGTATTTATAGAGAAAACCTGCAATTCGCAACGTTTTCTTTTTTCTTAATATAAATATAAGAGTGGAGCATTGCAAATCTGGTTACTCTTTGCTCCATTTATTTATTACGAAAAAATTTTTTTAGCGTTTCAGCATCAGTAAATATGATATTTGGGGAAAGACGGATAAGCAGAGCTGGTTCTATAGAATGGACACCTTACTCTCTGGACTTGAGAGTTCTAGACTTTTTTCTCTGGGGTTGTGTCAAGGAAAGATGCGGTAATTCTTTGCTCAAATAGCCTGGAAGATCTTAAGCGGAACATTTGTAATGTCATTGAAACGATTCTCCAAGAAATGTTACACAATTCATTCAACCATTTACTGATCCATAAATGCCTGAACAAAATGGCTAAGATATACATACCTATATGTACAACATTTTGTATAATTTTATGAAGTTGTTATTAACTTTTTATTAGGCAAACATAAGTTCTAAGGTTTGAAAATATGCGTTTGCAAAAATACCACGATTTCGATTTTGATTTTTTACGGCTAAAATGTCAAGTTTCAGGGCTGATGTCTCTATTCGCTCATGGAAACGATATATTCGTTTTTCATTTCATCCTCTTCTTGACCTTAAACACAGATGAATGAAAAATATCTAATATTAATATCGTGCCAGAACCAAACCAGACGAATAGAGCGAGAAGGAATGACTAAAAGATAGGGTTCTTTTCCCTTACTTACTGTACTTTTTGTATAACTCTTATAGAAATCTTCTTAATCATACCTTGAATTATATCATATCCGTTAAAAGTTATTTGCAAATTTTTATAATATCACAAAGAAGCCAATATAGTACCTGCACGAAAGTTCTTACATGGAACAAAACCATAAATACAATGCAATCACGTATAAACATTTCTTACAAGTTCTCGAAAACTATAGACAGGTTAAGTTTTTTCTTTCTAAACAGCTCCAAAATTAATTGCTTATTGTTAGAGCGATAAAAAAGTTGAAGCTTGGATAATAGGCCCTTAGATATATCAAAACAGTATTAGCCGGATAAAGCAGCTTTTATTGGCGATAGAAGGAAATGACTAACGAGCTTGTTACCTTCTTAGGCTAGTGAAAATATGGTCCTTGCGTAGAATTTTTTTATCTTTTGACGTTTTATTATAAACCATAAATTCACTAGAAGAATCTATACTCATCAGGTTTTTAACTTTTCAAGTGACATGTCCATTAGGCATTTTTACTTTCCTCACTAAAATCCCTAAAGACTTTCTAAAAATAATTTTCTTGAAGTTTGATTAGTTGCAGATTGCAAATCTGAAATGACCTATTTAATTGAATTTGTTGACCAGAATGAGAATTTTAAATTGGTGTAAAGTGATGTAAAAAGTCTTGTATAGATCTAAAAACTAGTTCTTATGGTGAAATCACTGATGTTGTACTCATTAATAATAATGTTATAAATTATTGAATAGTTATATCATCAGAATCTTTATTTATATCATAAAAAGTAGTAGTTGAGAAAATTTATCAATGAATTAATATTTTAAAAAAATTGTCTAAAAACACTGGAAAAAGTAATGTATGGTTTTTATAATTGCACTCAGCTATATTTTATCCAGGTAACATTTTTTCTAGTAATAAAGTACATAATAATTACCTTCTTACATCAAATGAACCATTACACGTATAAAACTCTCTTCTGAAAAATCACCTTGATTCGTAGAATACAAAGTTAAAAAGACGCCGCTTTTATAATTACTATTCCAATAAACTAGTCTTTATGAATATCAAATAATAATAATGTCTTCGGCTTTGCTATATACAATCTTGCACTGAAAGATAAGGGTTATTAAGAAAACATTTTTTCTTCGCTTGCAGACATTTTATCGGGATTTAGGGCTATTCTTAGGCTGTTGTATTTATTGTTTTGAGGAGGTCAATATACCCTTAGGCGACTTGTTACGTCATTAAATGTCTGCAAGATAATGGCGTTATAAATTAATAAGTGTATAATTAACATGGCTCCATTGTTGGATGTTTGTTTTTCTTTGGATCTTAGATAACACTCCTGTTTGTTTGTTTGTATGTTTTTGATTTTATAGCTTTCCTTTCTCCCTTTTTGGATTTTATTAGTTTTGGAAGTGTTTTAGATATTGGTTGTGTTGCGTAGAAATGATCAAGTAAGGTTCGAGCATCGAAGGACCATATAAGTATGCGTGATTGATTGCACAAGGAGTCTTCAGAAAATGTACGTGCTTTATTAACTTTTTACAAAATTATTATTCATTATTTTTGTCTTTTCTTTTGTCTGGTTGGTTTCTAGCCACCAATCGTCCATGGATATCTTCTTTATATTTTCTTTGAGGTAGTCCAGGTACCATCAGGTACCTACCTAATAGGTACTAATCACACCTTGTCATTTCAAGATTGAGGTGCAACCACTAGGTATAGGTAAATCATGAGTTTGATTGAACAGGTTGTATCAGTGATATTCGTTCAATTCTACACCTTTTCCATAAGTATTTCAGAATGTATCACTTGTATTTCAGAGTCATCAATTCTAGTTCAGAATGCGTCAATTGTATTTCAGTTGTGTAAGTTCAATTTCAGAAAGTGTTATTTGTATTTCAACTTTATCAGTTGTAGTTCAGAAAACATCATTTGTGTTTCAGATTCGTCAGGTGTATTTCAGAAAAAGTCATTTGTATTTCAGTTTGGTCACTTGTATTTCAGAAATCGTCATTTGTGTTTCAGATTATTTATTTGTAGATCAGAAAATATAAATTGTATTTCAGAATTCGTCAAATGTATTTCAGATATTATATCAATGTAGTGTATTAAATAAAATTTATAATGAGTCAGCTACACCTATCTTGTGTTGATTTGGAAAAATCTGCGTAGATATCTGATGATTTCTGAACTATGTACATCTGACAATTTCTGAAATATAATTTACGTTTTCTGAACTACAATAAACTAATCTGAAATACAATTGACTCTTTCCCAAATAAAATTAACTAATCTGAAATACAATTGACGCTTTCCGAAATACAACTTACTGATCTCAATTTCAATTGACGCTTTCTGAAATAAAACTGATGATCTCTGAAATACACATGGAGAAGGTGTAGATCAGATCTCGATTGGAGCCTCAAAAAAAGGTTAGTAGGTGTAGAGATCCGTGGTTTTGTTGGGCTTTAAATTCAGAGACACTATTCGATTTTAAAGAGTTTTAATAGGAAAATATATCGCTGGCAAAACTAATAATGTCTACAGGTTACGGGTCCCAGAGTCGTGTAAAGTCGGGAATTCAGGAAACACAGGAAAGATTTTTAAAGGAAAGTGAAGGTTAAATTGCCAGTGGAAAATTTACGCAGAAAAACGTGAAAATGTCGGGAAATACCATGACAGCGAGCATAAAAGCATTTAATGGCAGTGGATTTGGGAACTGGGAGTTTAGAATCAAGCTTCTTCTGGAGCAAAATGAAGTTCTTGAAGTTCTAAACCAAGTGGCACCGCCAACAACAGATTCAAATGGCTTAGCAACATGGAAAAAGAATGATATAAAAGCGAGAAATATAATTGTTCAAGGCATAAGCGACAATATCATTGAAATGGTTCGAAATAAAACGATATAATGGACACATTGAGTAACACATATGCGAAGAGTGGGGTAGCTTCACAGTCACAGGTGCAGCTACAACGGAAGCTGAGAAATATGAAGTACCAGGCAAGTGACTCTTTGAGTGAATATATAATAGATTTTGAGAGAACCATCACTGAATTGAAAAATGCTGGAGGCAAGATTGATGATATTGAAGTCATTAGTCAATTATTAGCTTCTATATCTGATCCACAATACCAGAGTGTAGTGACAGCTATTGACATTTTGTTTTCACAACAAAACTCAATTGTTACAATTGATTTTGGTAAAAGTAAATTATTGCTGGCTGAAGAACAGAGACATAAGACAAGTAATTCAGCAACCGAAGAAAGTCCGTCAGCTTTTTATGGAAATCAGAAAAAAACTTTCAAAAAGAAATTTCAACTTAAGTGCTATTTGTGTGGAAAAATTGGTCACAAAAAGGCCGACTGTTTTAAAAATAAAAGGGAAACCCGAAAGGTGAACATTGCCGAAGAAGAAAATGAGGTAAGCTTCATTGGTTGTCTTTCTGATGAAAAATTGAAGTTAAATCACAACCCTTTGAAATTTGTTGTCGACTCAGGCTCT